CAGACTCTGCCTGTTCCGACAGAGTTCTGGCAGTCCGTTTCAATGGACTTCGTCTTCGGTTTTCCCGAAGACGCTCACAAAAATAATGGTATTCTTGTGTTTGTTGACCGATTCAGCAAGATGGTCCATCTTGCTGCTGTCCCTGAGTCGATCAAGGCTCAAGATTGTGCTCGTGTCTTTCTAGACACGGTCTTTAGACTCCACGGGTTACCCCGTGAACTCGTATCCGACCGTGACCCTCGGTTCACGGCGTCAATTTGGCAAACCGTGTTCCGTTCTCTCGGAACACGATTGAAGATGTCTACTTCTGACCATCCCAAAACAGATGTTCAGATGGAACGTGCCAATCGTGTTCTCGAAGAGATCCTTCGAGGGTACGTCTACTCGTTCCCGAGCTGGAGCGAATTCCTACCCATGGTGGAATTCGCCATCAATAATTCGGTGCATGCTTCCACACAGCACACACCGTTTTACGTGAATGGCCTACGCCATCCACGTGTGCCCACCCTTCTAGAGTGTGACTCTTGGATAAGGGGGGGAGGGACTCGCTTGAGCAAAGACCGTTTTGGCTCTTGCTCATCACGTGTCGACGCTAACGTCGTCACGTATGATGCCGATGTCGATCAAGTCGACATCGATGAAGAAGATCACCTCAATAATAGCGACGACGCTATTATTGACTCGGATGATGATGACGATGCTGGTATATTCAGCATCGTCACCGATTATGCCAGCGAGGAAGAAGACAACCTCGCTGAAGAAGAGAGCAATCTCTTAGCAGTGCGCACGAAGCGCACTGAAAGAAAAAACAAAGAGTCAGCAGAGAACTTCCTGCTGACTCGAGAAGCGGTAGTCCGTTTCGTTCAGGACTCCATCGCAAATGCTGTGGTCCGTCAGAAACGGAACGCAGACAAGATTGGAAGAGCAAATGTTCTTTCATTTAAGGTTAACGACCTAGTACTACTGTCTACGGTAAACTTACCTGGGCATGCAGTCACTAGTGTCGGCAGTAGTTTACTACTGCCGAAGTACATTAGGCCATTTCGAGTGTTGCATCGCAAGGACAATGCATACACACTCGAATTGCCACGTAAGATTCGCACGCATCCTATGTTTTACGTGGGAAGGCTCAGGCCGTACTGTCAGTACGAGCCTTCTTCTTCCGATGAAGATAGCCCCTACGTTCAAGAACACCCATCAAGTTCTTGCGTTCGCGCTCCAGACGATCCGTCTGGTCGCGTAGATAAGATACCTCGGAACTCAACCGAGATATCTCCCCGCGAGCTGTCGCCAGCTCGCCGAATAGGGGGCGGACATCCCGCTCGACCTGAAGCTGCGCTGTGGTAAAATCGGCGCGATCCCTCGCCCAATCAGCCTCGTGATACTTGCGGTTCTTCCGCACGGTATCAGTCAAAGCGTAGCGCCGGTCGCTCTCGTGCTTCAAGTCATCGCGCAATTCATCGATTGCGCGATACATCTCGAAAGGGTCGAGATGGTGAACCGAATCATCTGGACGAGGTCTTTCCTCCTCCACCACATCCTTTGGTGGATGCTCACGGTGATCAACGCTTTCTAGTGGAGCGTATCTTGAATCACCGTGGCGATTCAGGATCAAGGACGAGCTACCTCGTCCAGTGGAGAAGGTATCCACCCTCTTGTAACAGCTGGGAGCCCCGCTCTCAGCTGTTGATGGATGTTGAAGGTCTCGTCCGCCAGTATGACGAGACCCATCCGATGAGTCCTCGGGCCCACCGGTAAACACGCGCTTCTGGCGCTTGTAGACGGATTGCAAGTTTGCAATCGCGTCACGCATCTCCTCCGAGATGTGTGCCCTTCCCCAGGGCGAACTTAGGGAATACACGTCCCTATGTGCACGCTGCAAGTTGTCAACGCAACTCGCACAAGGGTCTCCCCATGTGAGGCAAGGAATGTCTGCCTCACTCGACAAACAGTGCAACCGGTACCTAGCACCGGTTGGCGTTTGCCTTTCGAACCTGAGGCGTGTCACCTCAAGTTTCTTGAGCCACCCTTCTCGTCCAAAATTCTTTACGTTTTGGACGAACGCGTTCCACGCAGCCAAAAGCGATGCTTTGTCACGCTTTTGGTTGCCGTTGTACCATCACTGTCTAAGAAAGACATCGAGATAAAAGTCTTCTTCAGCGCGAAAGTTCTTCGCGCTGGAACTCAAGCCGTGAAGCTCAGTCGCATCGAATAAGGGTATTCGATGGTGTTGACTTGTCTCGTGAGATAAGCTATTGATGAGCCGTTCGGGCAAACGCCACGGCTTCGGCTCATCACGCTTCACAGTGGTACCTCTGTCGGTACCACGGCTCCCAGATTGACGACGGCTCACGCCATCGTCATCACGCTCTTGCGAAGACGCACGATCCGGTGGTGGTAAGGAATAATATTCCTCACCGCCCTGATCATCGTCATCACTGCCGAACAGACTGTGATGCAAATCACGAGTCCCTTCGTTCGGCAGTGGCCTTGGCGAATACTGAGGCGTCGCCGGTGAGCGAGACGCCTCTGGCGCATTGGCCGAGTCAGACACTTCTGACTCGCCAGAGTAGATTACCTCAACGTCGGGGTCATCATGCGCACGCGCTGAGTTGCCGCGTGCACCTGCAGCACCTGTTGCTGCAGGCGAAGAAGGAGCAGTAGACGACGAACCGTCTGCCGCAGAGGCTGGCACAGCACCGGGCTGTGTGGGTCTTGAGTCACCTCGCATAGACATGTTAAGTGTGCGAGGTCAAGCGGAAAGTGAATGGAACGGACCCAACAAGTGCTCCCTGTCCCAATGGTGGCCAACGGGTGGCCGCCATATTTTCGAGTCACAAGGTGACTATCAGTTAAGGGGGGTGATGTAACAAGCCAGCCCGTTACATGGAATTGTCACTCTAAAGAAAGTAACAATAAAGAATATGAAGTTGAATATTCCTTGAAAAATATCACCGACAATGGTGATATTGGTGAAGCGACCAAAGGGTCTGCTCATTGGTTGATATCGTGATGATATCAACCCACCAATCGCCGCAGGACGCGCGCAATGAGTGGTGACGAAGCGTCACCATACACTGAGTTATATTAACATAATTAAGTCAGGTTAAACAAAGAGACAGTAGCAAAAAGACTTGGTCATATTAATACAACAGTTTTACTTTATCCTTATCCTACGCTTCCTCGTTCGCCTCGTGTACGTCTGTCGGGGCACCCGAAACCCTTGCGTTAAGTTCACGCAAGGGTGTGCCCCGTTACATGCAACTATGGATGTTGCAGGCTGCTTATTAGCATCATCAGGCGATGATGCGCCTGCTGCCAAGTATCGGGTGTCTCGGCTTCCGGCTGCACGCATCCGTGAAGCCGCTTCGGACGCAGCCTTCCTCGCGGAGCGCATGGACCGACTCGTCATGCGCTTTAAAGGCAAAATGAGAAGGGAAAGACCAACAAGTGCTACCCGTCCCCAGAGCTACACGACGGTGGTCTCTCTGTCACCAATGAATTAATCACTCACTATAGTGACTGAAGGTTAAGGGAGGGGTGATGTAACGGGGTGAGCCCGTTATATAAATTGGTGCGAAAGTACCAATTTTGGATATTATCCATTTTGATAATATTCAATTAACATCACTCAAGAAAAGCGATGTTGTCGGAATATTACCTCGAAGGGTAATATTTGTGGAGGGGTCCACACCTTAAACCACCAATCGCTGCTGGACGCGCGCAATGGGTGGTGGACAGAAGACCCACATAGGAGACAGTAGTTTACTATAGTTAGATTAAGACGAAAGATGATTTAGTAAGAAAACGACTATTAAATAAACAGTTCTACTTTTCCCTCAAGACATAGCTTTCGAGTTCTGTATTGTCTTGGTCGCGCTTCCCCACGCCACGTGTACGTGACGTCGGGCGTACGCCTCCTTGTATTGTTTCAATACAAGGCTCTTGCTCAGTTATCTGAGCAAGAGCGTGATCCGTTACATTCAGGGCAACTCCGTTTGACTGACTGTCGCCCGCGGCCGTTGGCTCAGCAGTTTCTCACAGCAATAAGCCAGAGGCCGAGAACAAGCAGCAGATAGGACGCATCGTTGTGTCTGACGGCTGCAGGGCTTTTGGAGTAATGTATGGAGCAGGTGCTGTGATTCGCAGCGTGCGGACCAGGTAGATACGAGCCGATGTGTATCGCCGTCATGAATCTGGATTTAGTACCTATATTCTGGTCGAAGAGCGTAAAATGCGGCATTTTGTGCAGAAGACCCGGTCCGGACGTACAAAAGCCGCATATTTGAGAAAGAGACTAAACAGCGCCAGCTGAAAAACTGGCGCTAGTGAAGCGCCAAGAACACATTTGTGCGTTTCTACCCTTCTGGACTGGCTGCGGCACTTCATTCTCGTGAAAAGGCAACAAAATGGGGTCTGCGGGAAGCGATCGTCATGCGCCATGAAACTGCATGGATACTTGAATGTGGACGGCACGTAGGGTACAATTTAGTTACTCAGATTAGAGGGTCGAGCATTGCTTTGCGATGAGTCATGTGGGGAAGATTGCAGAGGGGGGGATAAGCATCGTGTTCTGTCGTGGCTGTTTTCATCGCGCCCATTTTGTAGTAACACTTCCCAATTGTTTTTTCTGTCCGCGCAACAGCAAATCCTAAGAAACTGCACCCCACGCAGCTTCAAGCGTCGATGGCTGTGCTTCGTCTTTACTGTCCATGACAAGACGAGTGCGGCGCACTCACTCGACCTAACAAACTGTAAACAATTCGCCCTGCGGATCGCCTGGCTACCTTGTCGAAAGCATAGCGACTTAGGTAGTTTGTTCACGTTCCAACAGTGAGCTCAAGCATGTTTATCATATCTAGGACACACAGAGACCTACCCGATGCACCTAATAAGAAACGGTTAACTCCTAGTCGGCAGCGGTGACTGCCTACATGGACGACTCTAGTAACTACAAAACATACACTATTACAAATAACAGGCTTTCTAGCTGAACATTTCTAAGCATTTTTTCTTCCGCGAACCGACTTGAACACTTTCTTGATCGATGCGTGTGCCCCAAATGACTTGGCATAGTCGACGTCGCTCGTAGAAGATGCTGACGCCACACTACCGTTTAGGTTCTCAAGCTCTGAAAATGCGTAGCCATGATATGAACACTTACGGCCTGCGCTGAAGCACGGACGAGATCCAGCCGCTGCATTTGCCTCGATGGATGCAGCTGCACATCCAGAAGACTCCAAAAACGACGGCTCCACTCCGGCATCCAAGCATTCATCGCTGCCAGTGGCACAAAGTGTCCCACGAATGCGCAAATTACGCTTCTTTTTTTCTCGGACTTGCAATAGTCCTGCTGCATGATCGGAGCCGATGGTGTCGTCGTCACTGGATGGTTCAGACAAAGAGGATGCGATCAACCTCTCACCAAGCGGCGATGACCGCATAAAGTTTTCGTCCAGTCTCTCCACTCGTGGCACATCACACCATGCAGCATCCGACTTGGATCGACGAAGCTCGAGCAACATGCTTCGTGGGGAATTCGGTAAGCCCATGAATTCTCGTTCCTGGAGAATGTGGTGCATGGACGGCAGAAAAAATCGGCGCACCAATTTCCAGAGACCATCTCTCAAAAGGCTCAATGACAGCACGAGGAGACATACCAACCAGAAAGTTGGTGTCTTTTGAAGGTACTCCATTTCGCCAGTAGCTTGTGGAAATCCAGCATTTGGTAGCGAAATCACGAAGCCAACTCCAAACCATAAAAGTATAGACGCAATCACTGCACACAAGAACTGCCACGTCAGCATGAATGTTTCAAGACACAGCTTTGCGTTCACGACGACTACAAGATTCGTAAACACCACAAACCCCATCGTGACCAGCCCGCTATCTTTCCCTGTCTCCGAAGCAATGGTAGAAAAATCGCCGGTGTTTGGACCGAAGCCTGCAAAAGCCCAAACGGAAACGAAGAAGATCACGATGGAGTGCCAGACGCCATTGAATATCCATGGCCAGAACACGCGACGTGCTAGCAACATGTTTTTCTGGCCAAGTGCATAGAGGTACGGAAACTTGGAGGCACTTACCGATGATACGTCTTGGTCAAAGACAGCAAAAAGTACCAACGGCACACTTGTGTAAAGCACATTGAAGCTTTGTGCAGCTACATCCAGGATAAGCGGCTGACCTGAAAACCCGCAGAAGCATCCAAACCAGAAGGCAGAGAGCACATATGTCACGTTCTTGTAAAGCATGTAGCTCATGAGTTTGGCCACCCGACGGTAAGCCCACCGGCCGTGTACAAACAGTAGCCGCTGCAAGAAGCGAAATTGTGCCAGGGCGTAGTCCGAGGCATTCACAGCCTGTGCTCCTTCTTGACCAGAAATGCCTACACCGATGTGGGCTTCTTGGATCATTGCCACGTCATTTGCTCCGTCTCCGATTGCGAGCGTTACGCTCTCGGGCTCGAATTCGCGTACGAATCTGACAATTTCGGCCTTCTGCTTCGGAGATACGCGACAGCATATTACTGCCGATGCGCACTGCCTCGTAACTTTGTAAAAGAGACTACGTAATCGAGGGCGGAGAGCAAAGTCGAGAGCCTGCCCGTCAATCACAAGTGCCAGCTTTGATGAGTCAAGTTCGTTCTGATGACCCTTTCCCCCTCGCAAACTTGCAGCGAGAGACCCGTATTCAGGCGTACGAGTCGTTCCGTTGTCAGCCTCAATCCCGACGTCGTACAAAGACTGTTCATCCAGTGTTGACATGTCAGGTGTTTCTGCATCAGTCGCAGCTGCCGAATACATCGAGCGTCCACCAAGTGCTGAATAAGTCGTTGACATTCCACGCGTTCCATTCCGCTTTCGCTGGTGCTTCATCGTTTTGTCCATCGGTGCACTAAAAGGAAACTTGGCTAATAGTATTCTTGCATTGCCCCAAAAGCCGCTTGCTTGGTTTGTAGTTTGGCGTGGGCCATCATGAGCGTGGCAGCGAGTATGTATGGCTTGATCGACCCTTGGACGAGTATCATACATCGATGCCATGAACGGCGATTGATGACGCGACGACGGACTAAGATCAGCACGCTGAGCCAACTCTTGTAGCGCTGAAGCAGTCGATGCGGGATCGTCGCCTCCAATTTGATGTACGACCGTATCGTGAGAAAGAAGAGCACTGGCATACCCGATGTTCACAGCTGTCTCCATCTTGTCACCCGTCAGTGTCCAAATCTTAATATTCGCCTCCTGCAGTAGACGTAGCGTCGTAGGCACACCAGCCTGCAGTTTGTCTTGGATAGCTGTGATTCCCAAAAGAACGAAGTCGCGCTCCATTTCGTTTATGAGGTGGTCGATTGCATTCGAGCGACCTTGGCGCCGCTTCGCTAGCTCCTCAATGGAGGTAGAAGCCTGTGTAAAACGAGCATTCCAGTCATCGTGCTCGCGGCGAGTGATGGTTTTATACGCGAGGCAAAGAGTACGCATTCCAGATTTTGCGTACAAAGTAAGTTGATCAACCGCTTGCTCATGCGCCGTGTGACCACGCAATGTCGCGCAATCAACAGCAAGCCGCTCGAAGATGACATTGTCGGCGCCTTTGCAAAGAAGTTCAATGGTTCCATCGGGAGTCTCCACAATCACTGTCATGCGCTTGCGATCGCTATCAAACTCGAGCACATTGAGTATGTTGTATCTACGAGGCGCTGTCGATCCCGGTTCCAACAGCATTAAGGCGTCAGGAGTTCTATCGACAAAGCGCACGTTGCAGAATGCCGCGGCAGATACCAACGCTTGTTCGTCGGGTGATGATGCAGAATATTCCGGATAGGGTGTGTTGTACATTTCTGCGAGAGGCTTCGTGGGAATCAGCGTATGACACAATGCCATGTGTTGCAAAAAGTGTCGAAGAGTTTCTGCCTGCTCGCCTCCTGCCTGAATATCAGCAAAGAGTTCGGTAGGGTCGAAATCGACGTACCTGGGGCCATGTTTCGAGGCACCACTCCTTGTCGGCATTGTTTCGCTGGAAGTGTCCGCCTCCATACCTTTATCGTCCAGCCGACCACCATAGTGCTTTCCTCCCACCATACAGTAACGAAAAATCATGAGATTCTTCGTGAGGGTACCAGTTTTGTCGGTAAAGACATGATGCACGCGGCCTAGATCTTCATTGAGCGCTGATGACCGAACGATTGCCGGCGTATTGGACGACTTGTCGTACATCTCGAGGTCCTGCTCGATAAAGTAAGCTTGTAAATACTTGACAAACTCCAGCGATACATTCAGCGATATAGGAACAAAGTTCTGCATGATAATGAAATACCGCAGGTGCAACTTCGCAAGCTCAGCCAGAACGTCAGGAGGAGGAGCTCTATTAAGACCGTCGTGTCGCCGCGCAGTTGCACTGAAAAGATACCAGGGTGCGTCTCCTTTTGTGTGTGTCCAGCGAGCACCGAGCAATGCACCCAGAAAACAAACGAGCTGCTGGATAAACACAATACCGACAATGAGCCGGTTTAGTCGCCCTTCAACTGATGAAGTCTTCACCAAGGGCTCGGTATTGCTGCAAAACACGTTTGTTTCGTGCCCAGTAAACACCACCAAGCCTGTCACCGAGCCTGTGTTCCGAAGCACGCAGCTCCGTAGCATCATCTGCTTCGCTGTAACTGACATGCGCACGCATATAGAACCATCATCATTTGTTTTGGTATGCAGAAGATCAGTTGCAGACCTTCGAGCTACTGGTCGCGACGAGCGAGCAGCATTCTCTGGGTCACTTTCTGTTACATCGAGCGCATGCGCTTGAGCTGGGCTCAGGACGGCCGAAAAGGTGCCTTCAAAGCTGGTACTTTGGTTGTTTGGCTGCTTGCACGTCATTGTACCGCACAGCTTGTTGTGTCCGCCTCCACTGTTCATGTGATTACTGCTGCTCAATTGCCGACAAAGGGAAGCCACCAACGGTATAGCCGTGCGGATCTTCAGATTCGTTTCACCATCCAGCGACTTTGTCTCGATGTACGCCAAATTAGTTGTTGATGTCTCCTCCGCTAGCAGCGCTAGCTCAGACGCTTTAATTTCATCGTTTTTTGCAGCTGCGAGACGCTCCGACGCGTCATGTGCAAACGTCTCTCTCTTTTCCGAGTCCGTCCGATGTCCGACATCTTTCGGATTCGACGTCTCGAGTATTTGCACCGGTTGTCGTCTATTGCTGCTATCGCCATCGTGTTTTACTGCTTCAGCTGACAGCAGAAACAAATCTGCTGGGATCGTCTGGTCCTTCATTACCTTGACAATGTTTCCGACTCGTAACTCTCCCCATCGTCGCTGTTCCCAACGACCTGAAGGGGTGAGCGTGAGCACCGGTCGACTGTTCGCCACACGATCCGCTCGATGACGCTCTCGGTCTTCCAGTGCCTCTTTAATGGCACTGCACACAAGGACCACTGCCAAAGGCAAAAGAATCGTCGGGATGCCGCGCGTGTTACTAACTTCTCGAATCGTCTGGAGAACCGCAATCACCAAAAAGTACACGTTCGAAGGACGCTGCAGCTGCGCTCCGAGCACGCGTGGTACGAAATTCCACACGCTGTACTTGGCACTTGTCACGGAGTTGCTGGCAAAAGGCGACCGCGGTTCCATTGCGTCTAGCTGTGGACTCGAAGTACGACCGAAAAGCCACGACGGCAGCCAACTGCTTTTTTCGTGCGCCGATGTCGTGCGGCGCTGCATCGCGATAGCTCGACTGAACAGCGTCTTCCGATCAATGTGTATGACCCGCAGACTCGGATCCGGGTCGTCACAAGCCGCTGAACTGGCCCGGGGCGTCATGGCCTCGCCCCGAGTCCGCAATGCGTTCACAATGGCAGTTGCGCTCTTCGTAGAGCAATGTGAGACGAATGAGCGCGTCGCGTGTTCGGTCGAACCGGTTCCGAAAGAAACCGGACCGGGACCGTGACGGTCACCGTCACACACCCACATCAACCACTCGCCTCGGAAAAACAGACACGAGCGACATGCAATCGTTGAGTGACTCACCGGCGTCGTCTCCAGAGCTTGGCAACTCGCTCATGTGGGAGAAGGTGGCGTTGTCGCCACTGGAGATGCTCTCGGTTCGGCTAGACGACGAGCTGCTCCATGCTGAAGAGGCAGCTGCAGCAGCCAGTGCGTCTAGACAGAACAAGTACGGCGTGGACGTGGATCCCAAGACGGGCAAAGCTGCTGGGTGCGTGACGATTGAAGTCTTGGAGGCCAAGGATCTTGTAACAGATCGAAGTGCAGCAATACTGGCAGTCAATGGCAATGCGCAGTTGGAACTGTACGTGTCCACGCAGGTGACGCCACTGTCGGCTTTTGAGAAGACGACAAAGAAGTACGTGCGCACTAGGAGCGCACAAGCAGTCGATTGTGGTCGAGCGATGTGGCGAGAGCGTCTCGTGTACGATGGCGCCAAGACCAAGAAGTTTGGCATCAAGGTCATGCTCAGCAGCAGCAGCGCTGCGGTCATTGCTGATGTGGTGCTTGGGGAAGCAGAGTTGCGAAGCAGTGATTACGAGGACCAAGCACCTCACACGAAGTGGGTCGATCTGAAAGCACCAATGTCTGCTGCTAGCAGTGGCAGCACTACCGGTAAATTGCTACTGCGCGTCACGTTTGCATATTCGGCGCGTGAGCGTCACGTCCGTGCGTTAACTCGGCTGCGCGAAAAGAAGCGCGAGAACGATACTGATATCGAGCGATACAAAGCTACGATGCGACTCGTGAACTCTCCTGTGCGTCATCCTGCTGCATATGGCGAGGCAACGGCGAGAGCCGCGCTCTACGTGCCCGGCAACAAATTCGACAGTACGGCACACCATCCAGCAGCTGTAAGCGTCGCCCCTCTTGCTGACAAGACTCGCATCGTGACTCCATTTGGACGGGGCGTTGTGGTCTGTTTTCGGCCAGAAACAAAGATGTACGTGGTGCAGATGGACACTGACTCTGCCTCGGGCAGCCACACAATGGCCTACTTGCGGCACGACGTGGTACAAGAAGAGCCTGACCGCCCGCATCTCCGCATGCACACGAACGTCGTGACTCCGTACGGTCGGGGCGTTCTAGAAGAGATTCGCCCTCACGACGACGTCTTGATCGTCCAGTCGGATCACGCCCGCATGTTCATGCAGCGCAAGGATGTCAAGCTACCAGCAAAGGATGTGGCCGAAATGACACTGAAAGACCTCGTGAGCGAGGCGACCAAGCTTGCCGATACCGGCAATGAGGAGTTCCGTCAAGGCAGCTTGCAACAAGCCGTGTACAGCTACTTGCGAGCCCTGGGCTTTCTCCAGCGCGTTGAACAAGACCGCGCGACGCACAAGGAGAAAGCGACGATCATCCAGACGATGATCCGCTGCCACCTCAACATTGGGGCGTGCAAATTGAAGCTCGATGCGTACGCGGACGCCGAGATCGCGTGCACGAATGCCCTGAGCATCCTGTCCGTGCTGTCTGAGAACCGCGACGGCAACGTCGTCACGTGGATGGGGCGGCTGGGCCTGTCAGAGCAGCTCATGTTTGGGGACTGGCCGTCGAAAGCTCGTTTCCGCCGCGCCCAGGCGTGTGTGAAGCTCGAGAAGTACGTGGACGCCAAGCAGGATCTGCTGCTGGCCGTGAAGCTGAACCCCCGCGACAAGTCGTGCCGCACGCTGCTCGACACGGTGACCAAGTTACTGGACAAGCAAAAGCGCGACGAGAGGAAGGCCTGGGGCGGCATCTTTGACAGCATCGACGCCTCTGCGCCGACGATGGGAACGGCAACGGGTCGTCAGAAAGCCGACGAAAAGTCGGTCTTCACGCGCAAGACCAAGCAGCAAGTGCGAGCAGCTGCAGCCGCGAAGAGTACAGACGGAACGGGGCCGTGGTACTCGACCACGCGCGCGCTCGCCACGGCGTCCGTGTTGGCGGCAGGCGCTGCGGCCGTTGCGTTGCTGGTCCTGAAGCCCAAGAGCTCGTAGGCGGCAGCGAGCACGTGTGCGGGGCAACCTCTCGACGTCCTGCCGCTGGCCCTCTCGGCTGGACTCTGTAGTTTCCTGTCTCGCCTCTTGCTGCTAGACAGCATCTGTGATGGGGACAGGGTAGGCAACAACGTGTGGACGCACAGGGCCTTGTCTGTTATTCCGCTGTGCTGACGAGACTGGTGCCCATTCGCTTGAGCGCGTTGACGAGAAGCACATTCACAGGTCGTTCCGTGTTCAATCCAAGCGTCTGATGTGCTCTGGCTACAGCAGACTGCAACGTTTCCTTTTCCGACCTAAAGCGACACGGCGGCACGGCCGTAAGTAGTATCGGAGCGAAAGGGCCGTCCCGACGATGCAGACGATTGCCGTTGCTGCTGCTACCGCTTGTTCACGCAACGAAGCCTCCTACTTCCCGCTAGCGAGCCAGACCGCTTCCGCGGCAAGCTGGCAGCGTCGTTCTGCCGGCCGGACGAGCAGTTACTGACTTGTTGATCCCGTCGAACAAGTCGTGACGCGGCCGCAGGCAACACGCACGTTTGGTTTTGGTAGTGTGGTGGTCGACACTGTCCTTTCTGTGAACGCGTGTTGACGATCCCAGGCTGTCCTCAACTTGCCGTTAGCGAACGAACGCATGTGGACCGACTGCCCACCCTTTCTTCCGACCCCGGAAACGCCAGTCTATGGTTGCCCACGCGTCAGTCGAGTCGATTGCCGTCGCGCCTGCCGGGACCATTCTGCGAAAGGTGAGCCCAACCACCTTGACTACGCTTGCTATCGATGCGCGACGTGAAATTTCCCCGATGCAAGCGGACCACTGTGCCCGCCAGCACCAACGAGGGTAGGCAGGCATCACCAGCCATAGCACACGGGGCCAAGCCTGGCAGTTTCGCGCATCCTCTGTTACACACTCATCTCAGACCTGCGGCAGTCGTTAGGATCCACAGTCAAGATAGTTTTCAGGCGTGCAACTGCAGTCGACGGTAGACACTGGCTTAACCCAGATCCTCGTCGCGGAGGGTTTCCGTCGTTTCGCGCAAAACGGGCCTTTCTTTTACCTGTGACAGGTTGCCTTGACGTTCACAAGTTGCCTTGACGTTCACTCAAAGTGAAAGGACCCACCCACCCGCGCCATTGACGTCGGGCGTACTGCAACCAAACGCCCGGTCCACCCATCGCCCGCAGTGGCAACAACTTCATTCTCCAACTTACCACCTCCGGCTCAAGCGAACGACTGACCGACTGACCGACGGCCTCGTTCCCTTCCGAACCCCTTTACCCGTACCGCACGGTCGAAGCAGTACTCGACGCCCGTCAACATCCGCTCGTGTCCGCCTGCGCAATGGGCCACAGTGACTCAATGAGCCCCGCTGAGAACGGCGAACCCGGTTCGTCCTCTTCGGCGCCGCCGCAGCGCGTCCCCAACCCTGCTGGGTCGACTCTAGCAACACTGGAGAAACCAGTTCACCACGACAACCCGGTCGAGCCTGTGCGTGTGAAGCTACAGGACCCTGTCGGGTTCTCGTCGGACTCGCTCTGGTCTTCCGAAGGACTCCAGTCGCGCTCAGCCTTACTCTGCTCCGCCTCGCAGGCACTGAGCGAGCGCCCAGCCAGCTTTGTGCTGCGTGCCCCGAGGATGCAGTCCAACGCGGACTCGCGCTTGGTGCACAGTGCTCAGACGACACCACCCAGCGAGTCAGATGAGGGCGACGTGATGGCGATGGACAGCCAGAAGGAGGGCCAAGATAAACGCGACGCCTTATCTGAGAACGTCGAAGACCTGTCGACATCATGGGGAACGACGCAGGTAAATTTACTTTGTATGTCAACCGCTCGAAATGGTGCAAGCATTGGTTCTGACACGTGATTGTGATTGCAGGACAACGAATCACCAGGTAATCAGAAGTCAGCGTCGCATCGGCTATCGCTGAACGTGGTACGTTTTGGCACCGATGAGCATATCATGCGTTGCTTCGTCTGACCATATTGTCATGCCTATCATTTGTGCTGCAGCAAAGTGCGCTACCTCGAAGCCACGACCACCTCTCGACGGATATTTGGAAGAATCCCCGCAGCGAGTTCGAGGAGAGCGACTTGAGTTCCACTGTAAGCTCGACATCTTCCCCTGACAAACGAAGTTTCCAGCGCTCGAGCACTCGAGCCATACCAGCACGAGCACCTCGTGGGGATAACAAGACTGTCGGTTGTCGTGTTCCCCCGGGAATGTCATTGATTGACCGGATCCAGGAAGACTTTCCTCGCACGCCATCGCCCGAGTTTGGACTGGTTGACGATGGTCGCTTGCCTGCTCGCAGACTATCATTCAGAGCAAGTGAACAGGCAGCTCAGTCCGTCTTCAGTATCAGCGAAGAAATGGGGCACCTGAGGCTTGGTTTTTACCACTCGGCCCCGCATTACGGTCCGGGCCGTTGCTCGAGTCACGACTTTGCCTCTGACTCGAGGCTTGCTGGGGCGAACAACTACCGCCGCACGTTTGCCAGGAGCACCAGCGAGCCACCTTTCGGCGAGTCGTACGACGGATCCATGATGCACAGCTACCCATCGTCGTACAACATGAGCGCGCAAGAAGTGCATAGCTGCCCCGTGGTAATGGGTGCCGCAAAGTCACGGTGGGCTACCAGTGAAGACGCATACACGCTGCAGTCGTCCCAGTTTGGCTATGCGCCGTCGGACTTTACAAGCGCACACGCTAGTCACGGTTCAGCCGTACCAAGCTACCCTGCCGGCTACGCCGGAGAGTACAGCAGTGTGAAACCTGCAGACAAGATGTTGAGAGCTCGCCTGTTGTACCCTGCAGCAGACCATTCGCTGTACGAGCGACACGACTTCGGGAACTTCGTGCCTCATCCTCACATGCATCACCGACCGAAGGTTGGAGGGTCTTTTCGCCGAAGCGATTTCGAGTACCTTCACCCGATCGCGCACTCGTACTCATCTCACAGCCTTCTGGAAGAGTTCAACTCGTCGCCAAAGTCGGAGAAGTGGGGACTGTCCACCATCAAAGGACACCTTTTCTCCTTTGCAAAGGACCAGACAGGCTCGCGTTTTATTCAGCAGAAGCTGGAGAAGGCTGACGATCGGTTGAAAGCGGACGCTTTTGACGAGATATTCCCGAACTCGCTCCTGCTGATGACGGACGTGTTTGGCAACTACGTGATCCAGAAGTTTCTTGAGTACGGCTCGTTGGAGCAGCAACAGCTGCTAGTGGAATTGATGACAGGCAATATGATCAGCCTGGCCCTGCAAGTGTACGGATGCCGCGTGATCCAGCGAGCGCTGGAAGTGGCGCAATTTGAAGAGCAGCTAGCCCTGATCCAGCAGCTGAAGGGTCACGTAATGAAGTGCGTCGTCGACCAAAACGGCAACCATGTACTCCAGAAGTGCATCGAAGCGGCATCCTGGAAGCGAGCGACCGATTGCAATGGCATGGGCCGTCAACGTTTCGTGACGGGGGAGGACATCCAGTTCATTATCCACAGCTTCATCGGTCATGCTGCAGCACTGTCCGTCCATTCATACGGATGCCGAGTGATCCAGCGCGTGCTGGAACACTGTGCACCGGAGCAAATTCGCCCCTTGCTAGAAGAGATCATTTACAAGTGCCGCGAGCTTGTCAAGGACCAGTTTGGCAATTACGTCGTGCAGCACGTGATAAGCAACGGGGAACTGGACCAACGCAACATTGTCATGCAAGCGGTGCTACCTGAGATCGCGCGCTGGAGTCAGCACAAGTATGCCAGCAACGTTGTCGAGTCGTGCTTGGAGCACGCGACGAAAGAAGAGATCAGTCAGATTGTTGACTTCATCTTGCAGTGTGACGATAGTGGAGCATCGTGTGCGCTGCTTCCCATGATGAAGCACATGTACGGGAACTACGTGGTGCAGAAGTTGCTGGAGCGCGCGGACGACCACGACCGCCAACGCATTATATGTATCATTCGACACAACGAAGACTATTTGAAGCGCTTTACGTTTGGGAAGCACGTGTTGAGCCGCCTCGAGCGTGAGGAGCATGCGAACAACTACTTTTGAGCAGCAAGCAGCTCCAGGGTTCCCGTAACGATATCAGCGGCTCCGAAGCGAATGGGCACCAACACAGCAGCCCTCGACATCCTCCTGCGCTCGTGCCCACCTACACTACCTATATAAATACATTGTGACGCATCAGTTAAGAAAAATAGCATTTTTGTTTTCTTGGTGAATCTCTTCGATCGAGTGCAGGGTTACTTGCAGCTTTGTTTGGCGTGTGACGTACGAGAGGGACAGTTCCATCGGTAACGAATGAATGGAAGAAATGTGGCGTCAAAACAATACAAAAAGAGGTCGACACTAACTTGCCCCTGTTTTTCAGTTTTCGAACATTTGCAACTTTTGTCGATCGACAAAATATTCTATTTCAGCATTATACGTTGTCCTATCCAACGTTTTTCCACCATCGGTACCTATCTATGCGCGCTGCCCCTGAAGCGCGCTTGCAACCTGTGTAGATGCACGCGTCCCAGTGTCGACAGCAGCGTGCACGGACATTCCAGGTTGTTCAAACGCTGTGGCTTCCCCAGCAAAAAACACACGGTTATCTACAGGCGCAGCGAGGTCCTGCGAAGCCGAGTCAGACTGACCCACGCGGGGAAAAGCGTATCCTCCACCAATCCACGGTTCATCTCCAAAGTCTTTGTACATCCCCTTCACAAAGAACGTGTGCGCGGGGCACGGTTCGTCCACCATGCCGTACATCATGTCGAGCTGGTCGAGAAAGCCCTCAATAATCTCCTCATGCGGCATGTCCACGAAGCTTTCAGCATACTCTGCACTAACAAAACCCGTGATGAGGTACTGCGTTTCGCCTTCGTCAAGGTCGTTCGCTTCCACCCCAGTGCAAAGTGTGTCACCGTTGGACTTCAGGTGGCCGATACCTTGTGTGCTGTTGAACCAGAACTCAGGCAGGAAGCAGTCCGAGCACACGACACCATGTGCATCTTCGGGCCAGAAACGACGAGACATGTGCAGCAACACCTTGCCGGCACGACGCATGCCGAATGAGTTCACAGCCTTGATCTTGACCTCAGGAAGAGCCGGTGTGTAGACGATCTTTGAGAACACAGCAGTAGACACAGTGACAACCAGCAAACGGCATGATAGCTGACGACCCGATACGTCAGTGACCAAAATGCGGTCACTCCGAGAGTAGTCCACACTTTTCACGGGCCAATGGAGCCGAGTCGTCACGCCGCTGGCGAAGTGCTCGACAAATCGCATGAAGCTCGGCACAACACGATAGTCACCTTCATCCTCAAGCTCAATCCACTGCTTTTCGTACCGGCAGGTGGTGCGCATGGAAATCTCGTCAAGTGAACCGCCGGCCGTGTTTGCGTATCCTGCCTCACACAGCTTCATCATTGATGAAGACAGACCGACCTCACCAAAGTAGTCCCTCATGGACTTCTCGGGCGGGATCTGGCAGATGTTTTCCATTTCACTCAACCGGGTGATCGACGAGTTGAACTTGACGAACTCTTCGTCTTCATCGTCGTACTTCAGCATACGCTTCTGGTCGCCGATGTAGTAGTAGCCAATACCACCGTCCGGAGCTGGACCAGTTGGACCACCGTCGCCCTGTAAACGCAACAGTGTATTGCAACGTGAGGGATCGAAACCAGATGAGTTGTATTGATTGATGACACGGTGTAGCCAAGTGCACCCTTACGACTAAGCATGCATTTACACTTGAAGGCACTAAGATGTATGAATCCAGACTGACTTCCCCCGGGTGGATACGCACGAAACTCAACGACGCAAGAACTGGGCCGTCGAATGCACGCAAAAGAGCAACGAGTCTTTTCCCGAAAGACAAAACTACGGCGCTCGCCCTGGAGATGCTAATTAAGGAAGCATGATCTGACGTTTACTCTTGCATTCGTATGAAGGCCAGAAGATTACCTTGGGCTCCGGAGAGCGAATCAGTGGCTGATTAATCGATGCAACTACAGCCTACTTCGTACAAAAACGCAATCAAACACTCCTGCCAACTTTATCCGCACCTGAGCCCACGTGAACACTTCACGCAAACCAATGCGCAGCTCTTCAGCCAGTCTCGTGAGCGTCGTGTTGCCACCGTGCAGGATCTCAGCGCCGACATCGATGCTCATGCCCGGAAGAAAGCTTGTGTTGCTCATCACGCGGCCGCCCACACGGTCCGACGCCTCGACAACCAGGACATCGTTCACGCCCTGCACATGCACCAGTTGGCTGGCACAACGCAAGCCCGCCACACCGGCACCGACCACGACCACCTCGTGGAACTCGGGCTCTTCGAGCTGCATACAACGTCGAAGTTCCTCAATCTGCAGGAGTCACCTGCTAGTGCCCAAATGCGAACTGATCGTTCGACCGGGAAGACCATCAATCGAGAACTATGTGTCGTGGAATGCAGGACGCACTAAAGTGTTTGAATGGACAGCATTCACCACGAAAAGATTAACTCGGAATTTAGTTTGTGGCGTGTACCGTACACCACAAGACGGATCAATGGCCAGTTGCGTCGGAATGAAAGTGGATTTTCGTCATAGCATCAACCACTGCAATCGCAACATAAGAAAAGCAAGCGGTTACCGCTTGTTGATATGAGATCGTGCGTGTACTGGTGTGTACCGGTACTGTACTGGTGTCAGTCGAACGAGCTGCTCCCGGCTTTCACCATAACGCGCGTCGCCAAGCATAGTGCTCGCTTTAGTAAGTTGTGCACCACTACGTCAATGTGGTGTCTAGTAGGTCTAAGGAATCGGATATCCATCGACCTCGTACGGATTGCTACGTGATGAGCGTTCTATCCGAGCGAGAATAGGCGAGATGACTTCCTAGATCGAAAATCTCTCAAATTGTGACTCGTTTTTAGCTCGATGGGATGCGCATCGGACACGACCGTCGTCAACAATGTATTGCTCCAACGATACATGAAGGATGAACTAAGCGCTGTATACATGACCGCGAGGAAGCGAGAAGCTTCGCAAGCGACGTGGAAGTGTTTGAGATATATCGAACAGGAGCAGCCATCCTACAGGGCACTGATCGTTGCAATTGTACTAGACCTTCCTGCGACGACCGGTGCCACATTTTCAACCTGTCCACTATTTCCTCGTCTTTCTCTCTCCATCCACTGGTTGCGTATGTACCACATATCGGAGGGAGATCCGCATAGCTGCTCATCATCCATCGGCTTGGGTTCGTTCGACTACCGGTACTGATATATACGACGGTATACCTTCCGCGTTCCATACCGATAATGCACTGTCCTGTCACCACACTCGACCTCGTGGGCGTCATTTGCTCTTTTTGTGCCTATTGCTCCCACCGCAATGTCTGACCTCAAAACCGACTTCGAAGCCGCAGCTGCGCTTGTCAAGACGTTCACGAAGAACCCCGTACGTCTCGTTGTTTCTCGGCATGAACAGTCGCCTGTCGTGGATGCGAGCTGACCGTAACGTACCCTGTCGCCGCCCCCTCTGGTTCTCGCTCACGTGTCCCCTTAGACCAACGACGAGAAGCTCGCGCTGTACGCCCACTACAAGCAAGCGACGGTGGGCGACAACACGACGCCCGCCCCGGGCATGTTCGACCTCACGGGCAAAGCCAAGTGGAACGCCTGGAACGAGAAGAAGGGCATGTCCAAGGAGGACGCCATGAAGGCCTACATCGCCGAGGTGGAGAAGCAGAAGGCCATCTACGCCTGACATGCGACTGCTGGGTCACGTCTATAGTCTTCTTCTTCCTCTTCTTTCCCTTGCTCGCATACGGTATCGTCGACGAAGAAGACAACAAGGGCGTGCCTCGAGGCCGTTGACGTCTTTGCTAGCTTGGAACCCAAACTGTAAGCTCAGCTAGTCATGTTCCCCTTGAATCCTAGTGTTAAGCTACTAGTGTTAAGCTACGTACGTGGCTTGTTATCCGTACTTTGCTAACTGTATATGGTGGCACGAAAGGCTGGAGTAAGGTGAGCTGGACAAAGGCAAAAGTCATTGTCGAAGCCCGGGTCGTCATCGCCGTTTCTGCGGTAGACACTCAGTATAGTCAGGGCTTTTTCGAGGACAGCCAAGCACACTAGAGCCATCGACGTAGCGGGTCTCGGCTTCGCCCGCGTTTGCTCACTTTGTCGTGCTGTCAGCCGTTCGCACGTCGCTTTCGCATATATATGCGAGCTAAAGCCAGTCAGCCATGAGTTTGTTGGGATCGCTGATATGTTGTCTGAGTTTCGAGCACACACGATCGGCTGCACCACCAATAGCTCCGGTGCCTTGCGACTGTATGGGAGCAAGTGCACGAGGAATACTTGTGGTCATTCACGTGCTGCTGTTGGCCTCATCGAGGGATACGCCGTGACCAATGACGTGGTGTGAATTGCACTGTAGAGCTTTGTCATTGTCCAACCGTCTCCTTCCACGTCGAGAACGTCCCATAATGTGCGAACACTGTTGACGACGGTGAAGCTGAGGTGACAACGATACTGGATCGCCGACCAGTTTCCTGTCATTTCTGTGAGCTCATAATGAGCAGAGGTGTCAGCCAGGCGAGCGACGATACCGTCCGGAGAGGTCTCTTGCAGTGCTAGTCGTTCAAGACTAAGCTATCGCTCGCTCTGGCACGCGTGTGTGTGGAGCAAAACCGATTCCGACGGTGTCCTTCGGTCCCCTGAGTCAATGATCAGTGCAGTCGCGTAGAAGAGGGCGTCAGCAGCACAGTCGTTTGCGCGACGCGAGCGGTCGGAAGCGTGTCGAGACATGACCACTGCCGTTGCAAAGTGATGGTATGGGCAGAGTACAATCATGTGAGTGATCACCTCGAGTGTCTTCACATGCTGGCAATCGGCTATCGACCGTGAGCGTCTCGACAGGTCAGCGTACATGACGCACCACAAGCGCACCTCGGCCAAGTCGCATCGATCCTGTCACGGGCGCACAAGATTTTGTGATAGGATGTGCAGGCCGCGTGCGGAGTATTTCCAGTACCCTTTACTAGAATTCACTGGTGGTCGAGGCCATCGGTAGACCTCCTCGACTGTCACTTCGTCGCTGTGTGCTCTAACCTACGACTTTCTCTAGCAAGCTTTTCTGGATTCGGTGTCTGCTTCGCAGTGGCCATCCTCTGGGTGCAGCGTCGGTGGGACGGGACTGCTGACGAATCGACCGCATTTGTTAATCGTTTGGTTTGAACGCCCAAACGATAAACAAATGCGGTTCCATTACAGTGGTGGTGTGTCTGCATTGGTATCTTTGATTCCGCCGACACGGGTCTCCTTATGTGCTGGCTAGCTTTTTGTGGGATGATACAACATGGACACCACGGCTTCGGTAGAAAGGAAAACATTAACGATGCTCGATTGAGCTGTCATTGCAGTGTTGTGTTAACTGCTTTATCGTAGTATCAGCAACGGTGGAATGGGCTGAAAGGCGGTCCAGAATACCCACGTAGTCCATGTCGCGTCGGCAAAAGAGACATTGTTGGGGATAGGACGAGTAGAACGTGCCAAGGAATCGAAATGCGAGAACAAGAACGAATACCTCTCACGCGACAGAGAGCACGCACGCCAAGTAGAACATGTTGAGGTTGATATCCGATACGGGTCGAAGCTCAACGCAAAGAAACAAACAGAGCGCACATACTTTGGTGATGGGCCTTGAACATGCGTGGGGCTACCAGTCGCATGCAGAAAGCTGCTTGTCGAGAGTGCGAGACCTCGAGTGAGAGCCTAGATTCAAGCACTCGCCCGTGTCGTTGCTACTGTGACGCCATCGGTATATTGTTGTGTTTGGAACAGGAAAGTTGCACCTGGAAGTACAAGCAAGTACGTCTGCGACCATTAGCACAGACCTGGGCGCCATTACGCTTGCTGAGCGAGATCAGAGGCAGAAGTGCGATGACTTTTAGGCGCAATACCTGCAAGCTAGCTCTGCGTTACGGGGTCAAAGGACTTAGAGCTTGCCACTCATTTGATTTGAATGATGTCGTTTGGAACATGAGAAGATGGATGCAGCATAGCTGTCTGTAAGGAGGATAGATGAGGATAGATGAGGACACATGTGAGGAGGATATAATACACATCATCCTAGGTATCTCGGTCCTCTCTATTCATAGCAAACGTAAAGCACAATAACCTGACAGCAGGTATGCAACATTGCCGACGTCGTCGGTCCTTCTTCGTCAGCACAAATACTGATGACCACGCCATTGAAGGTCTGTATTGTGAGGGGCAAAGTTTTCGCTTGTCATCAATCCTCATGGTGGACTACGACCGAGTGACCAACAGACACAAACGACGAGTCCGACAACACCAGACCACCGCGAACGCTCGTCTTTCTCGAATCGCCACGACGCGTGTATGACGATCAACGTCAAATCTTGGTCAGCTCAGAGCAACACGTTGAACTTCTCCGCGCTGCGCAGCTGCTTGCAGTGGGCGCATCTCTTCTTGTGGCGCTTTGGTCGCACACAGCGACAGACGAGCGTAGCCATTACGTCAAATTAGATCTTTGCACTTCGCCTTCTTGCCAGGCTCGATAGCATCAGGACGCAGACGCGACACCAAGTGAATCATCGACTCTGCGATCTCAAAAACGAAACTATGAAAACTGTGAGGGCACTAGCCAGTCATCGACGCATTTTGTGTAGTCATTTCTTCGTTCCATTTCATTCACAGGATGCAACTCGAAAGTGCGCACCCGTCGTTCAGTCTTTTGCCATAAGCGATCAGGAGCTGTTGGCCAGGTCGTTGAAACATATGAGGCCAAATCTTGGGTTAGTTGGGAAGGCATCTGAGAGGCGTTGTGGAATCAGATCGACCCAATGTGCGAAGGTCGCTAAATGACTAACACCGAAAAAAGCATTATAAAAGTTGTGTGTGTGTGGTTCGCCCAGTAAAATGGGGTACAAGGGTTACGCGGGGTACATTCGACTCGCGCAACGCGTCCAGCACGCGCACGTCACGCGGTATAAACCGGTAATCCGCTTCCCCACCCTCTCCTCCCCCTCATCCCGACTTGGACCGTCGAGCTCGAAGGATGCGGCGGTTTACAGCGCGATACGTGGCGCACGTGGCGCGTGGACAGCGTAACAAGGTATGTACGCGCTCTGTGTCCTTCGCTTCTCACGCTCCTTCTGCATGTCCTCGCTGTCTTGATCCTGTCTCCTGTGCTAATGTTCGTCTTCCGTAAGCCTCACCGTGTTCAGGCGAAAAGACTCACTCCTGCTATGTCAACTCTGCTGCAGTCTCACGGCTCTGCGTTGCGTCAAGCACTACTCCTCAGTGGTTTGGGACTGTCAGTACTCGCGTTTGCCGGTGCTGATCTCGCGGACGGCACAGCCACGCGCTTGGAAGCGCAGTGCGACGCCCGCTACGCTCCACCTGAAGTAGACGACGACGCTCTGTCCGTGCCGCTCGAGCGCGAAGAGTTTGTGTCGATCGTCAAGTCGCGTGTCTCTCGGATCAGCAGTGCGTCGTACAAGGCCAATTTTCCGATCGAAGACAAGTACGCGGTGGAGACGACGGACTCTGGAGACGTGTTTGCCGCTGTACTGGATGGCCACGGTACGAGCAGTCTTTGTCTGCTGCATTTTCGTGCTGTTTTGCTCGCAGTCTTCCTTTGCTTTGGTGACGAGTGTTGTGCTTGTTGTACGATGTGCTCATAGGAGGATGGCAGGTCTCCGAGTATGCGAAGAGGACGTTGATTGGCAATGTACAGAAGGAGTTGTCGTATCTGCACAAGCCGGGAACAAGCGAGCCGGCGCAAGGCGACGAGCCAACTGTCTCCGATGCGCGCGTAGCTGCTGCTATTCAGCGTGCGTTTGGGCGCACGGACCGCGACCTGATGGCAGAGGTAGCTTCGGCTTTCAAGCTCGGGTTTGGAGCCGTGGCGCGGTGCGGATCTTGTGGGTGCTTGGCTTACGTGCACGAAGGCACCGTTCACGTTGCGAATGCTGGCGACATTCGTGCTGTGTTGGGGAAGCTCGGCGAGGATGCTGTCACGATGGTGGCCAAACCACTCAGTAATGACCAAAACGCCATGGTGAGGTTCGAGCAGGAAAAGCTCGTGAAGGAACACCCGGGTGAAGCAAACGTATTCACATGTCGACACCCAGACTCGTGCTACGTAAAGGGCGCACTGCAGCCCACGCGTGCATTCGGTGACTTCTCGCTCAAGTATTCGGAGTTCAACGGCCCGCCTTACACGGAAGGCGATCGCACTGCCGGTCGCCACTTTTCGGCACCATTCACTCCACCTTACATCACGGCCATTCCCGAAGTTACGTCGCACGAGCTGGACGAGAGCGACAAGTTTCTCATCATTGGCTCGGATGGGCTGTGGGATTATCTCAGCAATGAAGAGGCTGTGGAGATCGTGAATGGACAGGCTTCGTGCGGGAACCATGACCTCGCGGGCCGTGCGCTGGTCGAGCGTGTGCTCCAGAAAGCGGCGAAGCGCTACGACATGACGTATCAGGAGCTGCTGAGCGTGCCACCAGGAAGCAATCGGCGCCGTCGCCATGATGACACAACTGTGGTGGTTTTGTTCTTCGACTAGAGCGAGTTGTGTCGTATCGAGAATTGACGTCTACAAACGAATGCAATTGAACAAGCGTAAGGCCGACATAAAGAGGGTCGCACAATTACATTGAAAGGCTTGGGTAGCCTGATAGCTGCATCTCGATGGGATGAAATGCAACAAGTAAAGCATTGCGTGCTTTTTACATGGACATGTAAGGCCGTATGTAGAGCGTGGGATTTCTAGGCGTTTGTCGCTCTGTTTTGTCCTTTTTCGACTCTTGCATTGATGGTCCCCGTCAGCTTCGTGAACAAGTCTTATCATACAGCGGGCGATTGCTCAATGAGCTAAGCTGGCGGTTCCCCACAAAGAGAATAATGAAGCGTCGTGATGCACTCGAGACAGGTACAACACAGCCTACGGAGCCGCCAAGCACTTGATTCCCACGCGTCTGCTCTTCCGATTGTGCATGATCGATTTCCAGCTCAAGCTTTATCGTAAGCTGTCAAAGCGGTCAACAGCTGAACGCCACAAGGAAGTAAAACGCCATGTTCCTGGCGTAGCATCCAATAGCAACGTCAGCATTTTATCTAGTAAGAATGCTTCTATGATCAAAAGATGATGGGCAACAAATTATTAATGAGACATTGTCTTTTTAAACTGACGTTCTTCTATCTCTTCATGTATAGTCTCCGATCGTACGAGAGCGGAAGATGCAAAAGGCAATAAAGTCAACAGCTCAACAGCATCAGCGTCAACAGCTCAACAGCATTAGTATCAACAGCAACAACAGCATCAGCGTCAACAGCTCAACAGCATCAGTATCAACAGCAACAACAGCATCAGTATCAACAGCAACAACAGCATCAGCAGCATCAGCAACATCTACAACAGCATCAGCAGCAACGTCAACAGCATCAACAGCAACAGCAAAAACAACGTCGGCAAGAAAACTGTCAGACTGCACGCGAGGTAGAAAAACAGATAGCAACAATAACACCGGACTGCACATCATATAGAGAACAGAACAGCAACAATAACGTCAGACTGCACGTGCCAACACCTCAACTATCGGGTCATTCACTTACTGCAGGGCCGCTTGGGTTCTCTTCGTCGCTGAGTGTCAATCAGCAGACGCTACAATATTGACGCATGGTGTAATTGACCTGTGGAATGAATTGCCTCACACGTACATACATGCCTGCAAATGAGTCTTGTACGTAAGAAATCAAGCATCCGATAGTTTGACTCATCCTTTAGTCGCACCTCATTATCCCAGCCGCCAATCGATACTACAGGAAGAGCTGTGTCTTGTACAGTATCACGTCTCTTCCTGTAGCATCGTTCAGCGAGGATTGAGCCTCACTTGTCCTCGGCGCACGGCCAACACAGGCCAACACCAAAAATACAGTAAACAAACATGTAGCGCGTCGAATTTCATCGCTCCCCTAATTGTACACCGTCCGTATTAAAAAGCCATTCTCTATTTGTCGGAATAGAAAAAAGTGGCGGAATCGTCAGGGTGTCGTAAACCTCAAGCCAAAGGTTTGTTTATCCCGTAAACCTCTGAAAAAAACGGTTTGTTCCTCCCGTAACCCCTTCGGAAGAAGATCTGCTGCTTCCAAAGACCTCCCGACGCAGCGCCTTCTCAAGTGACAAAACCCCCAGCAGCGCAACGCGTTGCGATCTGCCGCAGACCCCACACCCCCTCGTCGCAATGCGCACGTCCCTTCGTGTCTTCCGCCGCGCGTCTGCCGCCCCGTGCGCCACGACCCGCGCCCTGACCACGTCGAGGCGCTCCCGTCTCACGCGTGACCGCCACAAGACGCAGACGCAGCCGGGGGCGGCCGTACTCGCTGCGGTGGGCATTGCGGCCGTGAGCGGCTTCGCGTGCACGGATTTGGTCAGCGCCCGAGAGCCGACTGTGGACATTGACGCAGTGAAGAAGGAGATCGTCGACATCTGCGACGAGGACAGCGCAATGGGTCCGACGTTTGTGCGTCTCGCGTGGCACTCGAGCGGCACGTTCGACCAGCGCGACGGGTCTGGCGGGTCCACGGGCGGCACCATTCGGTTCAAGCCCGAGATCAAACATGGAGCTAATGCCGGTCTCGACGTGGCGCTGAAGGCGCTCGAGAGCGTCAAGCGCCGGCACGCAGCGATCACGTACGCCGACTTGTTTGTGCTGGCAGGAGTCACGATGATCGAAGAGATGGGCGGCCCCGCAGTCCCGTTTCGACTCGGGCGTCCCGATGCATTGAGTGGGGAGGCACCGACGCAGACACCTGATGGCCGCCTGCCGGATGTAGACAAGGGCAGCAAGGAGAGCACCACGCGCCACGTGCGCGACGTGTTTTACCGCATGGGCTTTGACGACCGCGACATTGTCGCCCTCGTTGGGGCCCACGCAGTTGGCCGTTGCTACACGACGCGTAGTGGCTACAGCGGTCCGTGGACGCGCGCAGAGTGGACGTTTTCGAACTCGTACTTTCGTGAGCTACTGGAGAACACGTGGACCGTCAAGACGTGGAATGGCCCCATGCAGTACGAGGACCCGACGGGCGAGCTCATGATGCTGCCGTCCGACATGGTGCTGATTCAGGACCCGGGGTTCAAGCAGTACGTTGAGATGTATGCCAAGGACGAGGACTTATGGTTCCGCGATTTCGCCAAGGCGTTTGTCAAGCTCACGGAGAATGGCGTCGAGTTTCCAGAGACTTCGAGTTGGGGTAAGTTTGTCGCAACGTGCAAGGAGTGGTTTGAGCCGGCATCAAGTTAGTGGCGATTGCTTTTCCATTGCACGCCGTTGCAAGCCGCCGAGCGACAAAGGGGAGGGAGACCAGCCATGCACGACAGCGGTGAATGTTTCATAATAAACATGGTCGTTCATGGTGTGTCCTCTTCTCTTGTATCGAATGTTTGGCTGTGTGTCGCGTCGGTTGCGTGAAACTACGTCGGATAGTGGGCATTTCTTCTGGCTTCTTACACCAGCAATGTACGCATGTTGAGCTTTCGCAGGCAGCACATGATCACTCCTCGAACAAGGAGATCTACAAGACGGCACAGGCAATGGCGTTGCAGATGATCCAGAAGCCTAGCGCTCGATGCTGTGGACGAGTATTTTTGCTGCAACACACAGTCTCTTCGTCGATTGTTTAACCTGATAGGTTTGGTTGGATCACCGTAGTTTGACCCTACGTGATACCGCTTTATGGGGCACAAAGCGGTGACCCTACTGAACAACCGACAAAGAGCCCGCAACCGTCTCCAGAGCACCTGATTCCCGGTCCATTTCGTCGTGAAGTTCGACTTCACTGAAGATAGAGAGACGTGATGATGAAGGAATGAATGAAAGCTCCGATATGGCGGCCGGAAGAGCTGCCGGTTGGCGCTTTGGATCTGGTGCTGCCATTGCGTTCGAGTGCCAACGCTGTGCGTGTGATGATATGTCAGCAACAATACTCAGGGTCAGAAACGGGATACGCGCTGTAGTTTTTTGCGACTGTTGCTTTGGTACTCACGCCATTACATGCGTTGCATTGCACGCGTCGTACACCCACACCTGCAGTAGAGCAGCGTACTCGCACGAGTGATTGTACCTCACGAGCAGCAAACCAGAGATATCCGAGAACTCGCAAGATGAAAAGACTTGGCCGCTGCTACAGCTTTGTGCAAGTCGTAGACCAGTGGGGTGCATACATGAGCACGGAAACTGGACGCGGCAAGCACAATATCGACACGTTCCGTTCGCGAAGTGAAGTGGTCACGTCGGCCACGCTTGTATTTCGACACGCCTACGACCGTCTAGCTCCGCGGTTTACCGCAGTAGCTACAAGAAGCGAGGAACGGGGCCAGTCTTCACACGGGGGCAACTTTGACACGACAATGCCGTGGCATGTTGAACAGAGGAACTCAACTGAGCTGCCGAGATTCGTACCACTCGCCCGATGTCGCCGGCACGAATCATGCCGTACTGTCGTTCGTGCCATAGCTGTTCTTCTTAGCCGCGTTGCGGGCCAAAAGTCGGATATCGCTGCCACTTCCAGTGCGTCGATGCATTGGGCTCTGACGGTACACCCCTTTTCCACGGCGCTTCCGCATGAGATGCGTTTTCTGCAACGACGGCGACGCGTACATGGGAGACTTTTCCACCGACTGGGAGCCGCGCTTACGCTCTTCTTTTTCAGAATGGTAAACGAGCAGTCCCATCACAAGCACGACGAGCGAGAAGCCATCGTAGATAGTGAATGACTGGCCAGCAAACTTGCCTGTGAGCAAGGGGATCATGTACAACAAGTCGGTGAGGGGAATGCCCACGGCGGACGACACTACGAAGAGCACACTACTGCCTTCCTTGAAGATGTACAGCATGAGCTGGTTGTACATTGTGTTGAAGATGATGAAGATCAAAAAGACCTCCATCACGCCCGCATCGCACGCAAGCACTTTGCCGTTTAGCTCAACTTCGTTGCCGATAAAACACTCGTGAGCCTTCGCCATGTAGGATGGGAAGTCGGCCCATGGCACTGGAGGATCGCTGAATGCCTCGATCCGCACTGTCCAAATTGTAGCAGCGCCAATGATGAGCTGGTAAAAGCTGATCCAAATGTTGGCATACCAGATGTCCAGGTCCACGTCCTTCAGTCCAATCTCTTTGTACACATTCGAAGCTGCCGCCGGCACCAGTGACACGATGAATAGAGTAATCCACCCTGCACTCGGATCCGGCGTGTTGGCATTGTCCTGGCCCGTAAGGGTAGGAATCAAGTTCACCATGCCACCGTACAGGACCAGGATGGAACCCAGAATATGGCCGCGCTTAAAGCGCGTCTGTAGGAATATGTACGACAGCAGCATATTGAACGGAAGATTCAACTGGCTCAGCACGTTGGCCATGTTCCCCCTGTTCACGTCGAACACGACGGCGACAACAACGACGATAGACAAAAAGCAACAGTACTCAGAAGACTATTCACTGTCTCGACAAGCACGACACAGCACTCCGGCACAAAAAGGATACCCAATATGAGGTGTGGGGAACGCGCCCAGCAAGTTATACAGCGTGTCAAACAGTGCCATCAGCATGTACTTGTAGTGCGGGAAGTCGCGCATTTCCTGCGTAATGTCGTCTACAACAACACACAATACGATACAGTCGTACGTCTCATCAATCAGTCACAAGGACGAGTGGATAAAAAGAGAGTGACAAGGAGAAGAAGAGTGTGTACCTGTGAAGTAGATCTTGTACCTGGGGTACAGTAAAGCACAGGGCAGCGTTAGAACCACGTGACCAGCCTGATCCTGTGTCATCAGTGTGCTAATAGCAAGCAACGTACGCGACGACAGGAGCCGACGAGACCAAGAAGGAGATGGGGAGGATCACGTTGGTAAAGTACCAGAGGAAGTCGGTATAGTCGTACGTGATCCGTCTATCGTACCAAACAGACGCACAGTGTACACAAACAGTGGGCAGCAGTGAGTGCAGGAGCTATGTGAGATGCACGCGACGCCCTCTCACGTACGTGTAGAGCACGCGGTCGACACATCGCGCCATGATGAGCAGGCAGAGCGCGACCGCCAGCTTGGACTCCCACAGGATCCGCTTCACGTCCATCGTGGCGTCGCGCGGCTCTTTAGGATCGCCGTCGTCGTCGGAAATGTATCTTTGGAGCTGGTGGTAGCGGTAGCTATGTGTCTCTTGGTGTGTCGCGTTTGTTTAAAACAAAAAAAAGAGTGGTCGCAGTTGTTGTTTCGGGGTGCCGTCGATCGCGTTGATTCAGCCAATCAAAACGATTAGCTGAACGGAACAATTGTCAACATCACACTGCAAGTCTATCTTTGACACCAAACGCACGCTACACGTGCAGCGATGGAAGACCACGGCATGACGCGCATGCAGGAGCTCATGAGCAGCTACTACGGACTGAATGCAAAGGAAAGCAGACAGGATCAAGAGCGGAATATCGACTCGACCGGATTCGATGCCAAGGTCTACGTTAAGGTGCGCTGTTGTTGTTGTCGTCAACAATCGTGTCAAAAATTGACCCCGGGTGACATGTATCTGTCATTTGTTTTCGTAGGAGCTACTAAGCACCCGCAGACTCAATGATTTGCTCGCAATGGACGACAAGTTGATACGTGAGATCAAAGAGCTGGACACTGACATGCAGATGCTCGTGTACGAGAACTACAGCAAGTTCCTTACCGCAACAGACACGATCCGCAAGATCAAGGTGAGGCCGGTGCTTTCTTGACAATGTCAACACGACATGACGACGTTTGAGCCATTGATTCTATTTTTGACGCAAAAGAACAATGTAGCTACGATGGAGGACGAAGTCGCGCGTGTGGTCAAGAGCATGGACGTTATCACGGCCAAGAGTGAGAGCATCGACGTGGCCTTGGCACCGCATCGAGCTGAGGTGGACAAACTTCTCGGCGTGCGGCGATTGTTGAAGAAGTTTGAGTTTATTTTTGAGCTGCCTCAGAAGCTCCACACGTACGTTATCGCGCGTGTTGTTTTGTCCTGCGTTAGCAAGGAGTGAAGAGAAGAGCTGAGGTTGAGGTGCGATGCAGGGCTGTGAAGCAAAAGGAGTACGCAAACGCTGTCAAGTATTACCTGCTTGCACGCCGGGTTCTGGAGCGATATGAACACATTTCGTCGTTCAAGGTGATATTGTCTGGTTATTGCAACGGCGATGCTGTACCAGTGATCCTCACGTGGCCTTCTGTTTGTAGACAATCCGAATCGAAACCGAGGAAGCGATTCAGCTGCTTGAACGTCTGCTTAAGGAGCGAATGCTTGACGCAACACTCGAGTCGGAAGAGGTATGCTGTCTTTGGTATTAGGATGGATACGCTGGACTCAAGCTAGACGTGTTGCATTGGTGTGATCAGCTTTGCGTTACCGTTGAGCTTCTGCATCAACTGGGGGCCTGCAATGAAGAGATCCGCGACCAGTTTGTCGAATGGCACCGAGTGTACTTTGTCCGTGTGGTAGCAGTGTTTAAGGTACAGTGGCATCGCTGCTTGCTTCCGCTTATTCATGACTGTAGTCACGTATATGTCCGATCGTGCGCTGCTCATCACAGACTCAACGCAAGGCTGCTTCAGTGTTGGACTTCCTTCAACGATTCAACGCAGACGTGCTATCAAGAATGGGTCGGGTGTTTGTAGTCTACAAGACCCACCTGATGCCCGAGGCTATTGCAAGCGAGACATCGTTGTCTTCAGACACAGTTCGTGATGACTTGTTTCTTCAATTTGTGAAAGAGCTATCTTCGCTCTATCTGGGCGAATGCATTGTGCAATTTTGCCGCCAGCACACAAATTTCGTGAGCTCGTCGTTTGTAGCTACTAGGCGTTTACTCTTTACTCACTGGTCCACTTCCTTCTTGCTTACCGTAGGGATCGAGAGACGAACTCCTTGATGCGCTGCACAACAACGATCTCTCCTCCGACACTGCCAAAAGCGAGTACTTTGTTTTTTTGCGCGTGATGAAGCACTTTGTCTCGCAAGTGGAGGATGTGGATAGAAGCATTCCAATGTGCGGACTAGCTCGGGATGCTACTGAAATCGTGGAAAGCTGCGTGCGCTTCCAGATTGAAGCTGTGTTTCGGAGGCTACGCGAGGACACCCGGGATCTCTTGGTTACTTCTTACGAAAATGTTTGCAGTCTGGGGCGAAGCTCACGCGAAGATGGACTGAGCGTTCGGCCATTAGCGAAAGAGGCAGCGGGGACATTTACGGACATGATGCAGAAAGTGTTGCAGCAAATGGAGCTCATAGTGCAAACGGGCTCTTCGATTCTTCCCGAGTTGAGTCAGCTCTTCCGTGACTTAGTCCAGGTAAGATGCAAAGCGGTTTGTCTACCAGCAGCACAATCGCACGACCGATCTTAACGAGTCTTGCACGATGTCGTTGATTTGTCCAGGGTCAATTCTGCATGTCCTTGAAGTGGTTCAACGTGTCAGTTCTCCAGTACGCGGAGCCCAAGCGTGCGTTTGCTCCACTAGACGGAACGTCTGAAATTCGATCTGAAGAACAAGACCCTGTGACGCTTCCATGGTTGGACTCCACCCCGCAGTTCTTGCTGTTCCTGGCATGTCTGTGCCAAGAGTTGTCAGCGAAAGGCATTAGTGAGTGCGCTCATGGTTTAAATGAGCGCTTGTCAGCCCTTTTGCCTTCATCGGACCTCCCCGAAAGTGGCCCGATTAGCAGTCGCCGGGAACAGCAGTATGACGCAACGCACATGATTGGAGTGACCCGTGAATCTGCTGCGGAGCTACTGCGGCACGTCGCAAAGATGTATGGCAACCAGCTGTGCATCATCGTCTACAACGGAATGGCTGCTACGTCGTGGTCTGACATGGACGAGGAGCCAAGAACTGTGCAGGAAATGATGGCTGCAGTCGTAGAGACTACTTTTCGCTTTGGGAAGGAAGTCGCTGTGGCACTCGATGACGAGCAAAGCGTGTTTACTGGAAACAAGAGTCACACACATGGCCGTGACTTCCGCCGGCGTGCAAGTGTGCTTCGGTCTCGCAACGCAGGAGTCGCAGCAGCATCGTCAGGGATGCAGCTTAATGTGGATCGGGTGTTTGCGCGTAAAATCCACACTTTTCCCTTTCAGCTGGACCTCACTGCAGATGCATTCGTTCAGGCCATGCTGAAAATGTGCATCAAAGCCTTTAGTGAGTGGGTGAGGTTGTTGGAATTGACCAAGTTTGGCTTGCAGCAAATTCAACTGGACGCTGAATTTCTGCGCAGCGCGCTGATGCATATCGTGGTGGCCCGCAAAGCCGACGAGGAAATCGAGGACCTTTTGTCGGACCTGCTGTCGAACGCACGCGCTCGAGCAGTCGAAGATACGTTGATGGACCAGGCTAGTGTCAGCGCCATTGTTAGCTCCAAGAGCTCCCAAGTTTTGTCACGATGGCGATAAACCAGCGTAGGCCTGCAACGCCGACCGTCTCTCAGTAAACATCAGCGCGTCGGCATACCTTCGACTTGTGGTCTTGTTTGCTGACAGCACCTGTCGTTCTGGCATCTCTAGTGGCTTTGTGTGCACTTCACATACGCTTCATGCTCGAAGAGCTTCAGCATGGCTTTGACGTGGATCTGCGCGCATAACCTCTCGTCAATCCCTTCGTTCGAGACCCCGACTGGAGCTGAGCGAGTCTTTGTATACCCGTACGCCAGGACGCAATGCAGCCATCCACCACGACAAGTCAGCCTGTCGCCGAACGCAATCCGACCCCGATTTCCACGCTCAGGTTGAAGTTGTCGCCTCGTCACATATTTTTCCCACCAACTGGATTTCTATTCGTTTGGGTACGGCGCGCGGCCTCGTCGGGACCGTTAGAAACGCAATAGAAACGCTCACCCGTCCCGACCAGCCATTCCAAGAGCGCCATGGCGTCGCGCGCGTTCCGTCAGGCGCACAGCCGCGCGCAGCCGACCGAGCGACCCGACAGCCGCACGCACAGCACCGACGGACCTGTCGCAGCAGCAGCCGCCGCCGCGGTCAAGCAGAACGAGCGCGAGCGGCTGGAGATCGAGCGCCTCGAAGCCCGCGTGGCGGAGCAGACGCCCGCCCGGGGCTCGCAGCTCAGCGACGTCACGTCGTTCGACTTCTTTCCGCTGTCGGAGAACTCGCGACGGGGTCTGCGGATCTGCGGCTTCGTGACGCCCACGAAGATTCAGGTGGGCGCACTGCCGCACGCGCTCGCTGGGCGGGACGTGCTGGCGGCGGCCAAGACGGGCTCGGGCAAGACGCTGGCGTTCCTGTTGCCCGTGCTGGAGAAGCTGTTCCGCCTGCGCTGGAGCGTCGAAGACGGACTGGGCGCGCTCGTGGTGTCGCCGACGAGAGAGCTGGCGCTGCAGATCTTTGAGGTGTTGCGCAACGTGGGCAAAGCCCACACGTTCTCGGCGGGTCTAGTGATTGGCGGCAAGAACTTTCGCGAGGAACAGCTTCGTCTCGTGCGCATGAATCTGCTCGTGTGCACACCTGGTCGACTGCTGCAGCACATGGAACAGACACCGGCGTTCGATGCGAGCAACTTGCAGGTGCTGGTGCTGGACGAAGCCGACCGGATCCTCGATCTCGGCTTTCAGAAGCAGTTGACGGCGATCTTGGAGCACTTGCCACCTGCGGGCGAGCGACAGACGATGCTGTTTTCCGCGACACAGACCAAGTCGGTGAAAGACCTGGCGGCGCTAAGCCTGCGCGAACCCGAGTACGTGGCCGTGCACGAGCACTCGGCAAACGCGACGCCCAAGGGGCTCTCGCAGAGCTACGTGGTGACGCCGCTGGAAAGCAAATTGGACGTGCTGCTGTCGTTCATCAAGTCGCACTTGAAACAAAAGACCATTGTGTTTTTGTCCACGTGCCGTCAAGTGCGCTACGTGCACAGCGTCTTTTGCAAGCTGCAGCCCGGCATTCCGCTCTGTGCGCTACATGGCAAGTACAAGCAAGGCAAGCGTGTGGAAGTGTACTATGAGTTTTTGAACAAGCCGGCTGCAGTGTTGTTTGCGACGGATATTGCAGCGCGGGGACTGGATTTCCCGCAGGTGGACTGGGTCTTGCAGCTCGACTGTCCAGAAGATACGGCCAACTACATCCACCGAGTTGGTCGAACGGCGCGGTACAACAAGCAAGGCAAAGCGCTCATGTGTCTCGTGCCGTCCGAGGTGGACGGCATGTTGAAGCGCCTCGCGAATGCCAAGGTGCCCATCAGTGAGACGAAACTCAATCCAGCCAAGACCACGAGCTGTCGCCAGAAAGTGGCTTCGGTCGTAGCCGGCGACAAGGAGATCAAAGCGCTAGCACAGAAGGCATTCATGTCGTACGTGCGCTCGGTGTACTTGCAGCCGGACCGGGAGGTGTTTGACGCGACGGCTCTACCGCTGGACGCGTTTGCCGAGTCATTAGGACTTCCTGGTGCACCACGGATGCCCTTCTTGTCCAAGATGAAGGCCGAGCACGAAAAGGGTGGGAACGAGGCGCTGCGTGACGAGCTGCGTGGGAAGAAGAACGTCAACCGCAAGCTCCAGCAGCTCAAGGAGAAGATCAAAGCCGAAAAAGCACGCAAGCGTCTGGCACGGCAGCTTGCAACGATGGACCCGAAGGAACAGGACGAGGCGATGCACAAGATGGAGGTCCAGCAAAAACACGACGAGCTGGAGGAAGCTGAAGCCGAGGAAGACTCGCTCATGGTTGTCAAACGCGTGCACAACTGGGCCGACGACAACGAGTCACTGGACCTGGAAGCTCTTGGTCTTGGCACGCACAAGCAGAAGAAGCAAAAGCGGCTGCGTGTTGACTCCGAGGCCATCAACACGGCCAAGATTGTGTTTGATGACGACGGCAACAGCGGCACGATCGCAGACCGTCTCGCTGCACGCGACAGCAGCGACAGGGACTTCACGAACATCGAGCAGCACGCCCAGAAGTACACGGAGCAAGTCGCAGCCCGTCTGGCCGCCAAAGACGCCGACGATCGTCGTCTCGAGAAGGAACGGGTGCGTGCCAAGCACCACAAGAAGCGCCTCCAAGTCAAGGGCGAGCGCGACGACGACGACGAGAGTCGTGACGACAATGCCCCACGTCTTGCAGCACACTCGGACGACGACGACATGAGTGGCAACGACAACGACGACGAGACCAGTAGCAACAGCAACAGCAGCAGCGACGACGGCGACGACGACCAGAATGACGATAGCGGCAAGAAGCGGACGGTCGACCGCCACGCAGTTGCCAGTCAAGAAGCAATGGCGCTGCAACTGCTGCAGCACCGGTAGATGAATCGACAGCCACCTCTTCCAGCCACCTCTTCCTCCTCCGTAATCGCTGCTTGCTCTTGACCATAGCCGCCCACGCCGTTCAGACAACCCGTCCGTCGGACCTCCTCAACCCCCTCATCAGTCGTCTGACAGGCAATCCGCCTCTCCTCCTCCTCCTCCTCCTCCTCCTCAATGGCCTCTGCGTCCACTGGTCGCCGCCGTCGCGTCCGCGCCGTCGCGATGATCCTCGACGACGTCCTGTACGACCACTCGACGCTCCTGTCCCACTTGGCCGTCGACCGCGGCCTCGCTCAGCTGCGCACCGAAAACGCGTTCGCGACCGCCGACGCGGCGTCTCTCGCGCTCGCGACGTTCCGCAAGACGTTTGGCCTGCGCGAACGCTTCCCGCGCTTCGTCAACAGTCTCGTGCGTGGCCCGCGCGCGCGTCTCTCGCCCGCGCAGGCGCAACGAGTCATTGCCGCGTACTATGCGAGTAACGTCCCGGACGCGCGTCGGATTCGGCCGTTCGCCGGCGTCCGCGCGACGCTCGAAGCGCTCCAAGACGGCGGCGCCTGTCAGTTGGCGTTGCTGCTCGTTGGGCAGCCGCACGTGCAGCAGGAGCGGCTCCGAGCGCTGGGCGTGGCCGACCTGTTCCGCGAGGCGGTGTACGTGGCGCCCAACCCGAGTGTGGCGCAGGTCACGAGTGCGCTGAAGCAGCTCGGGCGGCAACTGGACGTGCCGACGTCGGCGGTGCTCTTCGTCGGCCGCAAAGTGTTCTACGAGATCAAAGCGGCTAAGGCGGCGGGTATGCTCACGGTCCGCATGGTGCGTGCTGGAAGGTCACTGCCGTTGGAACAGACGTTGGGGTATTGACGTAGGGGGATCGATTGATTGCTGCTGTTGCTGCTGTTGCTGTGGTGGTGGTAGTTGTTTGGCAAGTACAGGAGCGTAATGCCGACGGATGAGATGGAGCGACCGGACTTTCAAGTGAGTGTGTAGTGCGTGTGGCCGCGTGGTGCGACATCGACGTTGACGTGGAGACTGATTGTTGCCGTGTCGTTGTGCGTGTGGCTGTGTGGTGGTGGTGCTGATGTGGTCGTGGGAACGGGGAATGGCTGTGGACTGTGGGTAGATCGAGTCGATCGCGCAGCTCGTAGCGGTTGTCAGGCTGGCAGACCAGCAGATGCTGCAGCCCAAGATCGTGGCTCTTGGAGGCGGGACGGGACTAGCAGTGCTGCTCAAGGAACTGCGTCACTATCCAGCTGACCTGACAGCCATCGTCACGGGTTCGTACGCTGATTCTCCACAGGCGCCCAGCCATGTCGATGTCGTTTGTTACAATGTCAATGGACCGTTTGGCGACTAACGAACGGATGCCGTGATCCGTTGTGGTCCAGTGTTTGACTCGGGTCGCCATTCCGGCGCTCTGCGCAAGAACTTGGGCATTTTGCCACCTGGAGACATTCGCAACTGCCTCGTGGCGTTGTCCGACTCGGGTTCGTACGCGTCGTTATCGTTCTGTCACCAAGGAGCCCACAAGACCCCACTGTTGAACTTGTTTGTTATGTGCACGACGACTAGATGAGCTCTTGAGCAAACTGATGAACTACCGCTTTCGGAACAACTTCATGGACGGCTGTAGCTTGGGCAATCTGCTACTCGCAGCGCTGACCGATCTGCAAGGCGGGTTCGACCGTGCCATCTCGTCGATTGCTGACATTCTCAATATCCATGGCACCGTGCTACCGGCCACACTCGAAAGCACTGAGCTGTGTGCCGAGCTCACAGACGGATCGACGGTCGTTTCGGAAGTCAATGTACGCAGCCCCTTTGTGCCTAATGAAGAAGGGGTCGAGTCACAATCAGACTCCGACTCCCCATCCAGCAACGCAAGTGCAAATTCGCCATCCACGTCTCTAGAGCCTCAATATCCACAGGTAAAGAAGACCAAGAAAGCGCCGATCAAACGCGTGTACCTCGAGAATCCGAATGTGAAAGCCTTCCAGCCTGCAGTGCGTGCCATCGAGGAAGCTGACATTATCATTCTGAGTCCTGGTGGGTTTTACACGTCAATCATTGCGACGCTTCTGGTACCAGGAATTCGTGACTCCATCGCACGCAGCACGGGTGCGATTGTGTACGTGAGCAACATCACTACACAGAACGGTCAGACTGACGGCTACACGCTCGAGAAGACACTCGACGTGCTTTCCACATACCTGGGAGCGAACGTTGTCGATTATGTGATTGCGAATAACGCTTTGCCACCAGAAGATGTCCTTGCGCCGTACGTCGAGCGCGGAGAGGAATTGTTGCTGCCGACGCCCAACATGGCGGCCCGTGAGCGCCCGGTTTTGCTTCAAGGCCAGACATTCCAAGAAGACCTTGTTACGGGGCAAGTGCCTCGCGAATGGAATAAGGCACCCATGCTCAAGCACAGCGGCCGTCGCGTGGCTGCCATTCTTTATACCATCATCGACAAGGAAATGGCACGCCACCATCAATGTCAGCAACTGCAACCTGTTGTTTCCAGTGCAGCTCCAGTGGATGTACCAAATCCGACGAGCGTTGGGATACCAGCTTTCACAGCTCCTGCGATAGTCTTTGGATTGCTCGTAGCCACAACGTTTTTAGCATCCGTGCTTCGTCAAAGGTGATGCAAGCGCTACGCGGGAGGCAGACCAAGAGGCAGCGACGGAGGTGATGGAGGAGCGCGAACGTCACGTACCATGTAGGTTCTACCACCCGGGCGCCGCAACTTCGCACAAACAGTGCGGTATGCCCGGCTTCTTATCGTGGCAGGGACGACGCGGAGGAAGTAGACGATGTACAGGATGTCGAAGCAGACGACTTCAACGGTCCTGGAGTGCTTTTGGACTGGCCTGGTTGTTCTTCGAAACCGTGATGCGTGACCATGAATTCGGAAAAGGCCTGCGTGGCGATAAACAATATCCGGAAGTCGCGCATCTCGGGTGTGGAAGCTGCAAGGTAACTGGCCTCGTCAAAGAAGACGGTACGCTTACGCGCAAACTCGTCCGTCCAAACATATCGATGATAGCCAAAGTCGCCAATGAGCTTACTGACCGTTCGTAAGAACAGCCCACGAACAGCGATCTCCGGAAACACCAGTGGCTTACTCGGGAAGTGGTGTGCAAACACATGGTCACTGCGACTCACGTTTGGTTTTAGACACTCATAGAGTGCGTCGCGCAGACCGAAGCGAACACTATCAGGAAGAGCGCATGGTACTTCTCCACGTAAAACAGCTCCCTTGTCCAAGTCCACGACAAGCAACCCCTCGCCGGCTCCAGCAAAAAGATCATCGCCACCCTCCTCAATAACTTGGCGCTGCGCATCATCCAGCGCTTGCTTTTCAGCACCAAAGATGAAAGGTGTCGGACACTCAAGATACTGTAGCATTCGACGTGGGAGGACAGGAAGGTACACGTGAGGCCAATACAATGGATGCATGAGTGCTCGCAGGGATTCAGCAACCTTCATGAGCACTGACAAGTACGAGGAGACCAACAAAATGCGGTTTTCCAACAAGGCCGCGGTGAAGACAAGAAGCACGGTGGACACGTCCAATGTGTCGAACAGAAGACGAACGGAGTGGTCCAAACGCGGAAGAGCGGCTAGCAGTGTAGCTGCTGTGGCTTTCGGAGCCAAGCCTGAAGATTCAAGCAGCGGGGACTCTGGCAACGGTGATGGTTTGTGATATTGTGAGATGTGTTCCTTCGAGACAGCCCGAGTTAACTTGGCAAGCACCCTCTTGTCCAGCTGGAAACCTTGCCCGCCATTTCGAGCAATCGTTGAGCCGTCGGCGCCGGCACCGGCGTTGGCGGCGGCAGTGATAGTCTCTAGCTCAAGGATGTACTCGTATGCTTCCGCAAGACGCTCTCGTAGGAGATCCACCATTGGAAACTTCGATAGTACACATACTCCATAAGGCACCCATCGACAGCTACTCGAAAAAGCGATTCGAGATGTCTCAAGTACCCGCCGTGATAATGGCGGTGCTGGTTTATACAAAACAATGCAAGCCGCAAACAACTCAGTAGCCGAGGCACCAGCACTGCTGTCACCCATGCGGAAGTTAAACGCAAGAGGCGCTGGGCAAGACGACGCGGTAACAACCACATGCCTAGGGTCAGCACACCAAGGAACGAGAAAATTCTCAATCGATTTGTCCACAAGGTGTAGTGTTGGGTCATGAGGCAGCTGGTGCTGCACAACGTGTAATTCAATCGGGTCTTCAAGTACTTCACTGTCATCAAGGCCATTTTCTGCTTCTTCTGCCATCACTGGCACGGACACAGCTTCGAAGGTGAGCACGCCCGATACAGCGTCAAAGCTCTGCGCTGTACGAAGCGAGTCAAGAGTCTTCTTCTTTAGTGTTGTAGCATCAGTTTCGCGCGTACTGGACGACGACGACGACGACGACGAGGAGCTTGAACTGCTACCAGCCCAATGGTGTGCACGCAAACCATAGCTCAAAAGCAGGGCTGAGAGTCGCATAAAATCATCGATCGAGTCTTTCTCGTCTTCAGACGATAATTTGGGATACAGCGAGAATTCAGCGTAAGCACGGCTGGTCAAAAAGCGATGATACAACTCCAGGTGAATGAGACTGAACCTCGTCAAGATCGCGTCTTGCTCGGCCTGAAGCCGAGCGCACGATGTCAATAGTGTGCGTGACAGGGTCTGCATCTCAGCATCTCCAGCGTAGTATTTTTGGGAAATGTACCTCAGCAACCTCCGGCAGCGGTGCGCGGACTGCTCAATGCGCTCACGACGCTGGTTGCTGCAAGACGATGAACCACTTCGGGAGCTGCCGCTAGACTTGAGCATCGACATGTATATGCGAAACGCCGGTTTGAACTCGTATTCGACATCCAACCACAACGCAATCTCGCGATGGTAGTTGTGTGGGAACAGAAAAATCCAAAAAAGTTAGCAAACCGGTGGTTCATCAATATGTCTTCGAAGCAAATGACTTCGCGCTCCACGGTCTTCTGCATCTCAGCGTAAAGCTCCGTCTTGCGAAACTCAGGAAACTTAAACATGAGCAATCGCTTCACTTTCACGGCAACATCGTCAAACGTTCGAAGTGCATCTTCACCCCCAGCCGCTAGATCGCGTTTGATGGAGCGTAGCCTGCTGGATTCCACGAGTAAAGACTCGTCACTGCCACCCTCCGCTGCGTCAGTACCAGCAGGGCCGTTGATTGGAAACTGGGCATTCTTCGCCAAATACTTCATCGCGATCTTGACGCCGTACGTGCGTAGCATGTGTACGTCATCCTTTGCAAGAGGTTGTCGCTGGTTATTAGCTCGCAATGTACACCAAAATTGACGATACTCTTCAAAAGAACAGAGGAAGAATAACTTACTCTGGTCTGCCGGATCAGAAAGCCATGCTGCGTAGTAGCGCATCATTCGTGGGTTGCTGATAACTTCCTCGATGGAAATAAGTGTGGTTGGGTCAGGAGTCGGCTGGTGTAATGGAAACGCAAACTGCTGTTGCTCCCGCTGCAAAACCCCGTCCTTATAAGCGCGCTGCATCACTTTGCCAAAATTGTGCTGGTATTGATCATGCATCCATCGATTCCACTTCTGAAACTTGGCGCCACCATGCGTTGCTGGTCCAAACGACGGTAGAGGAGGCAGCAAGGAATGACGATGTGTGCTTGGAGAGAGCGTAGCGGACGACATCGCACTGTATCCAGTACCACTACTTATTTGCGCGAGGATCTGCTTCTGCTTGTTCGCCCAAATCTCTGCCGACGTTGGCGCCGCCGGTGTCATGGGACCACCAGTGCTGCTATCACTAGCAGCTCCATGTTTGCCACCGGCTACTGTTGCGTACAAAAAACTTCGTGCCTTGAGTTTCACGTGCTGTGCCCAGCGAGACTTGGCATTTTCGAGCTTGACGCCCTCTTCTTCCTCCTTTATACTAGTCACTTCGTAACTATTGACATCATCATCAGATCCGCTCAGCACGTCAGAAAGTTCTCGCGCACTCAGTTCACGTTCTGGCTCAAACAGGTCCGTCTCGTAGAGCATCAGCTCCGATATTGTGCTTCGTCGAAACGTACTGCGACTTGAGAACGAGAATGCTAGACTATCCCGCGAGCGCTTCGACATGGCAAACGAGTCTCGCTCGACAACTGTCAACGTCCCATTACCCAGCGCATGCGATCGTCGTTGATGAGGCAATCGAAAATCGTCCTTGTCCGTGTACAACGACGAGTTTAGTGCACTTGCCAGACTCTCTCGGATTACCTCCTCAGCCGATATCGTGCTATCCGGAGGCAGTGGCGGACTTGCGTCCAGTGACGCTAGTTTCTCAAACACCACCACCACCAACAACAGCAATAACACACCAAACAAACAATAATACACGAAGTCAGTCGCACTACAATCTCTCATGCGACCTCTCACTCAACCTCCACTCTTTCTACTCTGTAACGTACATGCTCGTCGAAACCTCTCGTCACCGTTTCTCCTTCTCCCATTTGCAGAGTCTCCCAGCATATTCCGTGTAAGTCGTCCACCGTCAGTCACTGCATCTCGATCCTCCAAACGTGTCACACCATCACCATCATCATCAGCGCTCGCAAAACTACCACCACAAGCACCACCTTGATCCACAGTCTCCTCAGAAGCATCTATTTCCATCTTCAACAAGCTTGAACGGCTCCGCAGCGATACGGCAGAAGACACGGGAGCGCTTGCGCCAGCTTGAAACCGCGCGGTCGCACTCTTGTGCAATCGAGACGACGCATTCTCTCGACGATCATGAGAAAACGGGTGGAAAACAGAGCGACTGAGACGTTGTGTACTGCTTATAATGGCGTCTGCCGACGCACAGCGCCGGAGCTCCAAAACGTCGCGGGACACAAGCGACGGGTGCGGCGCTTCTTCGTAGCTCGCGCTGAGGTCGACGCAGGAAGTGACTGTATGCGTTAACGAAGCAGTAGAATCAGACGTGGGAGTGGACGTGCTCAGGACTGCGCTGCTACTGCGACTGCGACGGCGAAGACGCGCGCCGAGTTGCACGTGCACCACGTCGTCGTCGCTCATGCCGAGTGTGTGTTTGCGCCTGCCAAGAGGATGAAATCGCACGTAAGCGGAGTGTGCCGGTGCATTACTGGTGTGGTTGACGTAAGTGATGTGGTCGACAGCCTCTCGCGGGTCGATGTGGTCGGTGTGGTACACACGAGCGCCTCGCCACGGTGTTCTCAGACAGCTATCGAGTTGCGATCCGTCTTGTTGCGCTCCGTCTTGTTGCGCTCCGTCTTGTTCCATCAGGATGACTGAGCGTCGAGAGAACGCGGCGCAGGACGCAGTCATCAAGGTGCTTGTGCTGGGCGACACAGCGACCGGCAAGACGAGCTTCATCAAGCGGTACAGTGTGTGTGCTCTCTCTTGGCGCGGGCTCGTTGCAGGAAAGACGTCTAATCGTTTGGGATGTGGCAGATACGTGCATGACATGTTCACCGAGCACCACCGCACGACGATTGGCGTGGACTTTGCACTGAAAGCAGTGACGGTTTCTGGAACGACTGTGCGCCTGCAGCTGTGGGACATTGCTGGCCAAGAGCACTTCCGGGCTCTCAATCGAGTCTACTACAAGGACGCGCTGGGAGCGCTGCTCGTGTACGACATGTCGCGTCCCGAGACGTTTGATAGCATTCTCAAGGTGAGAAGAGGAGAAAAAGAAAAGGAAAACAAGAGGAAAAGACTTGTGATGCAGTGCATGTGCTGATGCTCACTGTTTCATGTTGTGATGTGCTGCGGGGGATGCAGTGGAAGAAAGAGATTGATGCCAAGGTGGAGCTGCCCAATGGCAAGCCGCTGCCTGTTATTCTATGCGGCAACAAGGTGGGGACGTGAGGGGTTATTCTACGAGTTTCCGTCGCTGAATTGACGGAGCTATGATGCAAGAGACTGATGACGGTGTTATCTGCGTGTTGCAGTGCGACCTAAAAGAAGAGGTGGACCGAGAATTTCTGGACGAGTTCTGTGCGACGAACAATTTCACGGGATGGTTCGATACCTCAGCCAAGGAGAACGTCCACATTGACGAAGCTGCCAAGGCGCTGGTCGTGGGTGTGTTGGAGCACCCAGATATCTTCGAGCGGAAATCTGAAGCGAAGAAGCACCACGAGGCGTTCCGCCCTACGAGTGCTGCTAACAGGGGCAACACCGATCGATCTGGCTGGTGCTGCAACAGCTTCTGATCTCCTTTCTGTTAGCTCTAGGACCAGCAATGATGCAGCGGAGCATTTCCCGGGCCATGTTGTAGCATGCGAAACGACGTTAATCGGACTTTGATACCCTGCGACTTGCATCGTTTCAATCTTGCTCAGTACTGCTGATCATTCTTTTTGACATTACGACAGTTGGCTATTGGTATTTGAGTCGATGGAGTCCATCAAACGCCGCTTATTAGAGCCGCCATCCGATACATCAGCGTCCACGACATCACCGAAATGCACTGGGAGATGACGACTCGTGCCAGGCGACATACCGTGGCGCTCCATGCTTCTGCGCGTCTTCCGAAGATCGGCGCACGTAGCTCGCAGTTTCTCCAGCAACTTTTGCTTGTTGGTCTCAGCTTGGTCTAGCTCACCATCTAGTTGTATCGTTTCGTGCTCTCGCCGGTCGGTTGTATAAGAGGCTGTGATATCGTCGACGATCTTCTGCACCATCGCTTCGGCCTTCGGCTGCTCCGTCTCCATACGATTGATAGACCGGAGCAGACGGCGTTCTTCTACTAGCAGGCAATACTCGCAATATTCCGCTTCTCCGCGAGCTTTGCATTGCGACAAGTGCGCAAAGTGGTGCTTCACATTCGCACACATCAAATGGATGCACATCTGCAGATCCGAATGGTGTTGCAGGTGCACGAGGATCGACTTGCAGTTGAGAAGACACCGCTGTGCTTTGGGTGGGATGCAAAACGACGCATCCACGATGCTGTAACCCAGTTCCACGACTTTGTCAAACTCTCGCTGCGACACTTCCCTGCCATTTCCATCTTTACTTTTCGCCCGAAGCAGCGCAGTAATGAGGTCCGCATCAGTATTTACGCGTCCTGCGTCTTGAGTTCCCTCAACCTCCCGCAGTCTCGCTTTGCTTTCTACGGTAACAGCATATCCCAAAATGTCAAACGATCGAAACATGTGAGTGCGCACGACTCAGGAAACATACCTGAAACACAGTCGCTTTTGTCTTCTGCTTGAGTCGAAGAGGGCGGCTCTGTTGTTGCCGACAGACTTGTGCAGTTCGCTGGTCTTTCAGGTGCAGGCAGCTTTGCGTGGGTGTCTACTGGTACTGGTTCACGTTTGATGAACACTTTTCCACCAAAGTGCCAATGGTACCTTGGAAAATTAAAAATTGGAGCGCTGCTTTCGCTAGCTAATTGGTTCAGTCGGTCTGTTTCGGCTCGGAGAACCCACTTGCGCTGCTGCAACATGTCGATGCTCTGCAAACGGAAGTTGCGGCTTGCTTCGCTGTGCGGACCCCGAAGTGCGCGACGTTGGTCATTGATAAGGTAATCGAGTGCCGTACTGACACCTATACTTCGCCTTTGTCGAATGCGGATGCAAAACGGACACATAAAACTCAAATTGTCAGTGTCTCTCATTCCGCAAGCGCAACGATGCCGGTACACGATCGCCAACTCGGCACACTTTGGATCACCGCAAGTTATGTCACTTTTGCAATGCTCATAATGCAGGAGCACAGAACGGCACGACGCTTTTTCGCATTTTCCAATCCGGGCGCAGATAAGCGCATCCTCGATACGAAGGGCTTTCTCTATATGTGTTGCCAGCATCTCCGTCAGCACGCGGTCTGTCGTGGGGAACCACCGCAGCAGTTTATCCAGATCCACGGGCTTCAACTGAAGAGTTGCACTTGCGGAATTTAATACTCGCTCGGACGTCGGACTCGGGGCACGAACAGCAGGACGTATAGGCTCTGGGGGCTTCACGATAGTTGCTGGACCAATTACTGGAGTCGCAGCTGCTACGTCCGTATGATCTTCAACCAGAGTGGGTCTAGCATCTTGACCTCGTTCCGACGCATTTGTTGTCACAACAGGAGCAGCAGCAGCAACAGGAGCAGCAGCAGCAACAGCAGCAGCAGCAGCAACAGGAGGAGATAGTGGCGCTGGAGAGCTAGCATGGACAGCTGAGCCTGTCGAAGCCACCGAATCTGACTCGACGTATTGGCCACATGGCTCCACCTGCTCTTGTCCGTGCCGGTCCGAACCCTCCGCAGCCTCTATCAATTCCAGGTCAATCTCGGCTTCCCGGACTACTTCTTCAGCAGCTGTAATCTCCGCTTCCTCCTCATACTCCATCCTCTCTCTTCTCGTAGCGTCGTCATCTTCTCGAGTGCAAACAGCATCGTCCACCACCTCGCACTCCTTCTTTTCTTCTTCTCCATCGTCTACGTCCGCACGATCTGCTCGACTGTGCTCTTCATCACGACTCCCGCTTTCGATTGCAACATTTACCTCCCCCTCAACAAGTTCTTCCCCAGCAGCTACTGCTTCGACATCTTCCGAGAACTCCACAACAGCGTCCGGAGCTTGAGATTCATTCACAGCTCTCGCCTCGTCTTGATCTTCTTTCGCCTCTGCGCTGCCGTTGCACGGCGGAGAGGACGTCCAAGTGGTGAACGATCGCGTTTCGCCCTGACTCGTCGTGAGCTGGTGACTACGAGCGGCGCCTCGAAAGTGCCAGAGCGTCGAGCAGCTGGTGCACAGCTTCTTCTCGGTGCGAGGGTCGCACGTCGAGCATCGGTAGTACCAGCGCCTCGACTTGCACCAGCTACAGTACTCGTCCATGGTCAAGAACACGCGTGTATGGTGTGGTGCACACCATGCAGCACGCAAACCGAAAAGGATCGGCGACCACTGCTCGTTCCTCCGTGCGAAAAGAGCTTTTGCAGCGAAAACGGCCGAGCAAACGGAGAAGAGGGAAAGGACGCGGACGGACAGTGTCATGACGACAACCATCTATCGGTGCGATCCTCCGCCATCGGATGACCAATCTGTCGTCCTCTCTGTCTCTCTCTCTCTCTCTCTCTCTCTCTCTCTCTCTCTCTCTCTCTCTCTCTCTCTCTCTCTCTCTCTCTCTCTCTCTCTCTCTCTCTCTCTCTCTCTCTCTCGCTCGCTGTCTCTCTGTCTCTCTTTGTCCCCTTCTGTCTCTTCGCGGGGCGGGAAGCTCCGAGACCGCAAACTGAGTCGTCTCTCCGACGACACGCACCTGTCCTGACTCGTGTGCGTACGCGACGAAACAACAACCAAACTGAACTTTCGCGTGCTTGCATGTTTTTTCTTTCTGCTACTGCTGCTGCTGCTGCTTACCGACACTGTCCACGCCCTCTTGCCTCTGCACCGCAGTGGGGACAGCAGCTCTCGTTGCTACACCAGCTACCACTACATAACTGCGTGTCGCAGCTGGCTGCCTCGCGAGCGGGCGAGCAAAGCGCGACCCAGCTGATCGACTGCCCGTCTGCCCGCCCGCCTGCCTGTCTACAGCGACCAGACACGTGGACAGGCCGGCACTCACCTACTCTCCTAGCGTGCTCTACGTGGCGTACTTGGCGGTCCATTCGCGGGCAGTGGCATCGTGACGCGCGCGGTCTGTTCTATAAATTTGCGCGATCTCCGGCACCAGCGGGTCGTCCGGGTTGGCGTCCGTCAACAGCGAACAGATCGACAGGAGCACCTTCGAGATAGTGAGTGCCGGGCTCCACTGGTCCTTGAGAATGTCCAGACAAATGCCGCCGTTCGCGTTGATGTTGCAATGGTAAATGCGCGTCGTGAAGTTCACCTTGGGCGGCTTAAACGGGTAGTCCGCTGGGAAGTATATGTTCAGAAAGTAGACGCCGCCAGAATACGGGCTGTCTTCGGGGCCCATGATCGTCGCTTGCCAGTGGAACAGGTCGTCGCCCACAGGGCCGGCACTGCAGTTCGCGGGCGGGTCGCGTCCCAAGTCCTGTAGCTCCTTGTTGATCCGTTTTAACGCCATGACTTGTCAAATGCGGTATCTCCCTCGGATCGTCGACTTTGCTGCTCTGCTGCTTTCTGTTACGAAAGGAAAATGAGAGCAAAGTAGAAGAAAGCTCGCGCGATCCCTCGCATTGAACAACTCGAGGGGCGTTTCGTAGGTCAAGCGGTTGCCGCATCAGGGACTTCTGGAAGTTTTTCTCTCGTTTTGGACAAACAGACACGGGTGGGTCCAAGCTATCGTACTTTAGTGGGCCAGCAACCCTCGTGCTGAACCCATGTGATACGATTGGCCAAAACGAGCCTCCTGCTTCACACGCGTCCTAAAGAAGCGGCGAGCCTTCTTTGCGAGTCGATCTTGCAGCAGTCTCGAGTCGCATCATTTCGCTGCCCCTTCGAGGGGTACTGACTGTCATGCACCGAGACCGCAAAGCGGGAACCGCCACAGTCGATTGGACGTCCACATTGCGGCATCGCACCGCAGACGCTTTGTGCACCATGATATAGAATAAAACGACCTCTTTTGCTGCCGCGATACGTTTGCCGTCCTACCGCACGATGCGTTCGACGCCACGATGCTACGACAATCGTTCCAACGATCTTCTTGGTAGAAAAGCAGACACTTACTCGTCCGTTGTAAATGCTGTCAACACGAGTTGGTCGTCAAGCAAAGCCGCATGGATGCATCGAGCCAAATGCACATAGTGGCCACGTGGTGCTCGTCAAGGTGGCAAAGCAAACCTGCACGCAATCGTGGACAAGCGTGTCCCAAAGACGTCCTCTTTCCACGCCACCAACCGTCGCGCACGTTACGCGCTTCAACATGACGGCACACGTTGATCCCGACCTCACGTAGCTCTCTCCTCCGGTAACGCGTTGACGCGTCGAAGCGCGAGTGATGCGTGTTCCATCGTCAGTCCACAGCAGAGCTGGACTGACTGCCGACATATTGCTGCGGTCGAGCAAGACATTGCAGCAACGTCGAGTGGCTGGCAGCACAACGTGACCAAAGCCCCATCCGTGCTCTTGTCCCCGCAGACGGACGCGTCTGCACCGCGACATCGCAGCACGTGAGTAACGCCAGTGCGCGATCGAGACCCCTTATCCCCTCTACCAGCTATCATTCAGGATAGCATTCACCCAGCCCTAGCGTCAAGTCAGTATAAAGTGTTGCAGGTCGTGTCTGGCTCAAGCACTGTCTATCGTGCTGTTTGGTTTACCACACGGACTGGATAGCTGTCGCCACTTTAGCTCTTGCGTTTCCGACGCCGACCAGCTCGGCGCTGCTCTCTCGTCCGCACTCTTCGTTTCTCTACCTCTCTACCTCATTTGCTCTCTCTTTGTGACCGTGTAGTTCGTCGCTCACCGCGATGGGGGACCGGTACCATAGCTCGCAGTCGCCGCGCAATAGCGACGGCAGCGTCCCGGACGAGCGCTTCAGCAAACTCGTTTCGGAGACCAGTAAGGGCATTTCCAGCTTCAATCAGCTCACTCGCAGCATTGCACAGAAAATGTCCCTGTTCGGGACACCGCAAGATTCACGGGCGAACCATACGCAGATCAAGGAACTGACGGAGAAGGGCAACAAGATCGTGGCCAAGATCAATCGTCGACTGCAGGAACTCAGTCGAGGCGCCAAGGGCCCGAGCGGCCGCACGCGTCGAACGCAAGTGAACAAACTCTCGGCTGACTTTAAGAACCAAGCGCGCGTGTTTGAAGAGACGTGTGAGCGACTGCTGGAGTCCGAGCGACAGTCGGTCGAGTTCATCCGTCGCTCGTCGCAGAGCTTTCGTGGTGGAGATGGACACAAGACACATGGAGATACGCACAAGGCACGTGGAGGAGCAGAGTTTACCAACTACAGTGAAGACCAGATCTACGCACAAGCCAATGTGGTCATTTACGACGAAGACGGTTCGTTTTGTTTGCTGTGTTTGTGGATAGTGGAGAATAGAGTTTTCGTTTGAGGCCGTAGGGAAAAAGTGGGCTGACACATGGCGCTGATTGTTTGTTTGGCATGTGTAGACCTGCAACGGAGAGAAGAAGACATTATCCAGATCAATCACCAACTGCGTGAGGTGAATGCAGCTTTCCAAGAGATCGATGGACTCGTGCAGGACCAGGCGGAGACGGTGGTGGAAATTGTTGAGAACACTGACACGGCCAAGGAAAACGTGGAGAAAGCACTAGAAGAAGTGCGGCAGGCGGAACAGAGCAGGAACTGTTGCGCGTGTTCACGGATGAAGCTCATCATCATCGCCATCTTCACGTTGATCGTCTTCATTGCCGTGATGGGGATCATTTTTGCCGCCAAGTGATCGGGACACGGTGGGTATCATCACCAGCGCTCGTGGTTTGACCAATTAGTTACTGAAAGAGGAAAGAAAAGCCAGCAAATGCTGTAATTTTATAATGCATGTGGACTGTACGGTTTCGTCGTGACTGTGTGACGCCTTCACCGATGCCAAAGCTGCGAATATGTGCCTGTTATATCGACTCCTGACACGCACGAGATATTTGTGCGGAAGCGACACATTGCATTGGAACCGAAGCCGTGCGATGACTTTGTTGGTTGTCATTCTCAGCCTGTGAGTTCAAACAAAGGTAGCGACATTGCGCTGATACTGGTCGAGTGCAGGTGCCAACTACGTTTGTTTGCTTTCTATAGCAAGAACTGTGGTCGTGTGATGTGAAGAATTGAAGAGGTCGGCTGTTGTGCAGCTGGCAGAATATTGCTGCGAAAAGGATGAAAAGAATGCCACGACATCCTATTATATTATAAAAAGCAGGTTTCTTTTTGTATATAAGTAAGCGTTTTGTGCTTTTTATAAAACGAAAGCAACAAAATAAAACGTGCATATATATATATTTAATGACCAAATACGCACATGCCTGGGATCATTTTTATACATCTACGTGCATCTTCATTCGTCCCCTTATTATGTCGTTGATCAACTGCACATGCACCATAATTATCATCGGTCACATTGCACATAGAAAAAGGTAGATTGACGCTCCAGGCGTAGCCGAACAGTCTTTTTTGTCGTTCGATTACAAGGTCACGTTACTTCTGCCTCTTTCATCAAGATCTCATTATTTGAAATTTTTGGAATGTGAGCTATTGTCTTGGACAAATCGGTTTGAGTAGACGAGGTAACACAGCGCCGTGTTCAAGTGGCACGCACCCAATACTCTGAGCAATATTTATTGGTGCAACCAATGGCAACACTAGACGACAAAAGACACATAGAAAAAGACAAGATAGTGAAGAGCCGACGTGAATATAGTAGTGCCATTGCAAGTGATGACGTGAATTCTTCCTAATGCATACGATATATTGCATCCTAGAGAGGCCATGCAAAATATAATGGCGGTTGTCGCCACTAGTAAGCTGACGGAAATCAAGGTCATCATCCAAGTCATTAGACACGTCAGTAAGACTTCCTGGTTCATCCACAACTGCATCCGCTAGTGTACTCGCGTAAACGCTTTCAGGTAGGGAGATTTTAGCTCACGAGATTTGAAGGGAAAAGAAACGGGTAATCTCAGTCACTGACGCTACTTTTCTACCTGGCGAGCAGCTCGGAACCTTGCCTTCCGCTGATGATGGAAGTTTTGGACCGCGTCGAACAGAATCATGAGACATGTCCTATGGAGCAATATTTTATCATAGAACGAGCGCTTTGCGCATTCGTTCAAAATTCGTAGAAAGTAAATCTTCGCGCATCTCGGAAGACATGTGATTCTTTTTATGAAAGGATTAAGAAATAATTCATCCTCAGAGGCGCGACTCGAGTTATTGATACAACTCGTGCTCGGTCGAACCACGATAGACATGGAATACCTGCCACTCGAGGCAACCGATGCAATATGTGCATCAGACTAGAGTGGGTCTTCTTCCTACAACTCAGTTGTGGAATTGTGCGCCTTTATATCCATATTTTGCATCCAACGCACTCAATTTTGTAAGTATTCATATAACAAGCCTTGCGAGTATAATTCTATTCCAGTCAAAATTTCTACTCTACCATCGATGTTTATAGAAATCATCTATGTGAGAATCTCGCCCGATGCAAAATTTCCTTGAGATGGTCGACGCCAAGAATCCTTGGCATATCAAAGAGATGTATCTGATGTCGATAGCTCGACCTTACTGACAATCGATTCATCGTCGCAGAGGTACAAATGACGGTTTTTTTCAGATTATTGTATACCTCATTCACCTTAAGTCATTTTTACTGGTGTTTCCAGAAGATCTGAAACTACGTTCTTCGCAATTCGTGGATTCGTTTGATCATGTTGACGCAAGTTTAACTCCCAAGATTTCCCCTGATGAGCTAAAGTAGATCATGCGCCTCATTTTCATCGCTCTCTTGCAAAAGCAAACAACTTTGCATATTAATCGGATCGTCTGAATCTTCAAACAACTCGATCATCTCAAGGTGCTCCGCGCTATAATCCCCCATGTTTTGTGAACGGGATGATACTGTACCATATTATAATAATCATTTATCATAAATGATGATAAGGAAATTTACGTTGAATGCTCCTTATACAATATCACAACACATAGTGATACTGTTGTGGTGATCCGAATGTCTAATCATTGGCTGATCTATGAAACGATATCAACCCACCAATCTCTGCTCGACTCGCGCGATGGATGTCGATTAAACATCAAAATAAAGTTCCTATATCAACACAGTTAGGTTAGTACTGCTTGACAAAGAAGCGATTAAGGAGTAGTATGTATACTAAGTCGGATTACTTTTACCACTACTAAGTTTATATAGTCTTAGTTGTTAGTCTTTCTCCGTACACGTGATCGTGAGGCGACAGGGCGCTGACTAGCACTGTTTTTAATGAGGGCTTGCTCCGTACTCTTATCAGTACAAAACCTTCAGTGGCCCTTTACACCTGGTAACACTTTGTAGTCATTTCAAGGACCATAATCAACTCACCCAACATGAACGTGCTGGACGATAATGGCGACAGCTTTCACGCCACGCGTGAAAGGTATTTATATATAGTGAAATTGAAAGGAGTGTGGTCAAACGAATGATTGGACCGTGGAAGAGGTTGATGTCTGTAGCATTCTATCCGCATTAGATATGGATCAAATCATTCCGTCATCTCCAAATTCATACATGGTAAATTTGATGCTTCGCAAGGAGAAGTAAGATTAATTAACCGGCATGGTTCTCAACATCCAGGTAGAGCTAGTGAGACCACAGAAGCTTCAGTTTGATGCTTCTGGGCCGACACACGCGCGCCGACCTAATACCTCGACTATAGATTCCGCTTAGTACAGAGATCGGAGGGAGAATCCCTGTTAATACGGTTAGTCTAACTAGACGCAGTGACAAATGCTCGTCGAATTGACTAATAGTAAATGAAACTTATATTTTCTCAAATTTACTTGGCAGGACGTGCCAAATCTTGGGTATTCAATCTCTTTTTGCACAGCACGCACGTGTTTGGGAAGTTACAGGAGGTCTACATGCCCCGCTCAGACAAGCGTTTGAGCCACAAAAAGTTGGCGTCAGGGCTCGAGTAAAGCTCTGAAGGAAAGACCGAACAATCAATGGCGTGCAAACTTACGCATAACACACTCGCCAACTAGCAAGATTTATTACGACCAGCCCGGTCCATGAACTTACGCTAATTACGGTGTTAATACAGGGTATTGCAGAAGTTCCCGTCATTAAGCACCTGTTTTGTATCAATTTGGATACGCTACAACAAGCGATCTTATCTGCGGAACAGAAAGCTTTGGCGTGATACAAGCCCATGATATTTCAAGCTCTTCTTGTCCACTGCGACGACAAAAGGTCAGGCGTCTAGAACCTATGAATTTCTGCCACATCGAGAGCAAGAGACCTCACTCTTCGTATGGACAGCTTCTGCAGAAGTGCAATCAATTTTAGACGTAAGGACACTAAGCCTATGAGTATAGTGCCCCACGCCCAATATTTCGCAATATTGAGAGAAGTGACCGCCCGCCTTTCAAATAGGGCAGCGAAAGTAGGTTTGGGGTTGTTGCGAAGTTATGATAGCGAGGCAGATCTCCTTACTGGTTTTGACACCTCAAATAATGTGCAAACTTCTTGACGAAAGTTTCACCATACCCACAGTCGTTGAGTGTTACTACACCTTGTGATTAAATATCCCTCATCACCTTAAGCTTGAAAGTGACGAGCAAGTACCATATTCAATACTACTCGACTGTCGGGCGTCGAACGATTTTTTCCGTCGCCAGTCACTGGAGGTTGTAGGCTTAAATTCGTTTGGTGCGACAATTTTGAACGAGGGTGAAGCTGCGCCTTGTTACTGGCGCATGGATATCAGTGATGAAGCGTGTGCTGTAATTCAACCAATTATAAGTAGGAAGACGAACAGTACTGAACTTTTTTCATAATCGACCTAGATGTTACGCTTGATGTCATCCTCAGATAACCATGACTTAAAAGGTAAAAGTTAAGGGTTAGCTGACGGCACCAATGGTTGATGATTGCTTTCACTTGTTCATCATATGGCTATCTGATGAATGTCTTGGAGTGCTTAGAACTTGTGGATGTATTACTCGTGAATTTAATGTTCTCACTTGTGGTACGGCTGTTAACACGACTGCACAGGATATCAGTGCAGCTAGCCACTAAACTGCGAAGTAAGGTCCCGGCTCCTCTGCAGATGCAAAGGCAGAGTCGGAGGTCTACTACTCGAATTAGTCGATTGGGCCGGGAAATGATTGCATGCCTAGCGCGCCTAGCGGGCATCATATTATAATTATTAAGCAGTTCACCTAGAATCGGCAACACAGTAATACTGGTTCAACTAGAGATTCGGTATTTGAGGAACGGGTTCTGGCAGTGCGAAAACAACCAAAAGAAGTCAGGGAATAAGTCCATATGTACTGAAAATTAAATATCTCAAGTTGTACTTGCTGAGGAACTTTGTCCCCAGCAACCTGTGGAGACAAGCTCCCAGATATAAACGAGACATTGGATGCTTAAATGAGCAATAAGGTAATCGTAGGTGCTTGTACGCTTGATCTTAAAACTCCTCCAAGATGTTTTTCGGTTCAGTATCAACGTTCGAACCAAAACGGTTCTTACATGATCTGCGTTGTGGCAGGATCAAGCAGATCTGCAAATTTGTCACGGAGGATGATTTCGTGGCCGATATTCAGTCGTTTTCTAGTATTTGATGAGCCAAGCGGGTTCCCAGCAGCTTATCGACGGACGAAAGTGTCCTTGATGAGAAGAATCGATTTAAATGATACACGTTTACCCCTCGTAGTCGCTTCAGGCAAATCCTT